TAATATTAGTGAACGTGACGAGGAAAACATTTTGAACGTGGAAAGGGCTCTGTTTGGCCTAAAACGTAAAGTTTCGACAAACCAGTTGTCCATTAAAGACTTTTTTGGTAAAAAGAAGTAACTTTGAAAGAGAAACATTCAGTTTTTTTAAATTTTTTATGCTTTCCGGCAACTATCGTTTTCCCGTATTCATCGTTTTTATTTCCCACCCCCGCCAAAAACGATGCATCGAGGTTTCACTGTATAACAAAATTGCTTAGTCTTAACAATATACATTATTATTCACATACATACTGACTCGGTGATAAAAGAATTAGTGTTCTATGCATAAACATGATTCAAAGTTCACTAACAAATCCTATTAAAAAGTGCAGAGTATATTATCTCACCTGTACGCGCTACCACATGCAATATGGACCATATGTTTTCCATCGAGTGCTTCAATGAGTGTAGGTTCATCCCTGGAATTGCTGTCTCCATGGCCCAGCCTCCCACCATCACCACTACCCCATGAGTACACACCTCCATCAGAAGTTAATGCAAGGAAGTGTTTCCCATCTGGGTGTGCAGCTAACTTCACCACTTCCTTGTCACCAAAACCTTCAACTTGTTGAGGACACTAAAACAATCAATTTCACTTCAACAAAAATGTGAAGTCACAATATTAGAACAATGGTCAAGAGCTGTTGATTTATACAGGAGACACAAGAAGCCTATCATCATCCCACAAGCCTATACAGTATCATCAACAACCCTATAGGCCCTCTTTACTACTACTTATAACCCATATTGACGTGCGATCATTGAGGACTGCTTAATGAAGAAAGACAACAACAAAGGAAAATCACAGCTGAATAATAAAATTATTAATGTGGTAAAGAAATAAATTAAGCATGGATGAAATCACAATACAATCTTTTTTTCAGTACAAGAAAATCTTAAATTACATACAGACATGGGTGAAACATTTTGAAACTATGACTGATGAAAGAATACAAAAGTAAAATATAATTCACAAAGAAGGAAGTGGGAAGGACAAGAATTACAGAGAATGAAGTCAGAACAGGCTTCTTTGAAGAAAAGAATTAAATGAAGAAATTAATGAATATTCAAGTTATGAGAATTCAGAGTTAATCACTATTCACATGATTTAGAACTAAACATTCTTCCAATATGTATTTATAGTTTTTCAAGCTAAATATATGTTTACTAACTGGTTTTTGTCTCTCAAAAATAATCACATACTTTTGTCTTATTTTAGAGTAATACTGGAAATCAACCTTACCAGCATTTCAGAGCTGTAGTATACAATGAACACTTTTCCAGCATTAGTAAGAATGAGTAGACATCTTTCTGCACAAACTATCTGGGCAACTCCCAATTCTCCAATAGTTTCACAACACTGAGGTACCATTCCTGAATCTGTACAGCTGCTCCATGCCAACCAACCCCATGCCAGCACTTCTTGGTACTGCCCCATATTCTGTACCTCCAACAGATAAACAAAATAGTGTTCTTGTGATAATATTTATTAAAAGAACTATGAATATCTAATTATACATTTTGCAATATAAATATGAATATAAATAGTAATCACTGATAAAATGATATGTGCAGCAGTTGTGGACAAACAATTCAGTTTTGAAACTTTCTGATCAGACTTTATTTATAGAAGTAATATTTCACTTTCGCACTTTACCAACCTTTGGACTCTTTCAGAAGGGCCCTTTTGCCAAATAAAAAAACTCTGAAAAATTATCATCCCTTTGGGAAAGTTCTTGACTAGTTCAGCTCCACAAGGTCTATGGAAATGGAAGATTTTTAAAATATCAAATAATGCAATAACTCACCTTAATAAAGGTTGCTGGAGGGGCATGAGGTGCCGCTAACCTATCCAAGTGTGACATGATGACTACAGCAGCCTGTTTCAAGTCAACAGCAATACTATCATTGTCTGGCAACTGTAGGTATCTCAAGAAACACTCAGTTGGGCTAATCTGTAACAGACATACAAAAAATTACACTTCAATACTCTTACATAATCTTCCTCAAACCCCCCCCCCCCAGAATAATTTTTATATTATGGTCTGCTACAGATTGTTTTCATCAATAGCCACATCTTAACTGCTTGAGCAATAAACCTTTGGTAATTGTATTAAAGACAAACTTAAATGAAAAATAGCATCATTCAGAGGGTTGACATTCCTTTGTATTCAACAGGTCAACTGGCTTTTATGTAATCAAAATGAGGTATATAAACTGTGGGTTTCAGCTAAACTTTATAAATTTGTCTTTTCATAGGACTTTACATAAAAAAATCAAATTATATTTTCAAATATGTGTCTCTAAAATATAATGAATTCAGACTGTTATGGGGCAAAGGTATATGCCCTTATATTTTATTCTGACTTAAAAGAAATAATGTTAAAAATTAAACTAACCATAATTTGTGCATTTTCATCCCAAGGAGCATTTAAAGGACCAATTTTAGAACATGATACTTTTTCAAATCTCCTCAATAATGGAATCAGAGGTGCACTGGTTCCAGATGATACAACCCTGAAAGAAAAATCAAGATTAAGAACTATATATTTGTCATATCTCCTAATAAATCAAGTACAAAAAATTCCATAAAAGATCCAGTGTCTGATGCAGTACATAATAATGTTCATCAACAACCAACCTGTTATCCACTTGGTACTTCCCTCTATCCCATAAACTGAGAAGTAAAATAACAGCATCAAGTATATTGCTGAGTGCACCTCTTTGGACTGCAAGTTCAAGAAGTAAACAGAGTGCTGTATGCTGATCACTGACAGGAACTTCACACCAGCTCCGAGTACTGTTCACATCCCTGAAAAAACTACTGACAAGTCAGCTGCATCATACTTTTTGAATTCAAAATTAATTTTAATGTTTAAAATAAAGCACATCTGACTTTCCATCTGTATGTATATATCCATTTTTCATTTCCAAAACTACTCAATGGATGTAAAAACATAAAAGAGCCTTGGTGAAAACATTTTATTTTGTTCCCTTACTGGTTGAATACAAAGTCTATTTTACGTGACATTTGAACTCAAATTCAAAATGTTCTTAAAAAGATTCACTGTATAAAAAATTATACATTTACAGAATATAGAGACCATTAAGAGCTGTAAGTTTTACTTTAAAGGATCTTTTAATGTAATGTATATTTAAGAACATTTTGCAAAAAATAAAATTATGTCCCAGTACAATACTGAATCTGTTCTGTTTACTAGCTTTGCCACAACAGATTTTTATCCTGAATAAATGAGAATCATCATTTATGATTTATGACTCGTTCAGATTCTTTCTATGATTATTTTCCTTCCACAAGCTCCTGGACAGTACTAAGTGTTCTGCATAAATTTACTACAATCTTACACACCCTAGTACCACTTGTTGCAGAAATCTGTCTGATCTTTCAATGACTTCCAGCCATACAGGCGAGACAGAATTTTCATCAAACAGTGTTGCTTCGGGAAGAGATTGTAAAGCCTCAAGAGATTCAGTAAGTAATTCGCTGCACAAGTCAGCATCTTCACCTTGAAAAGATAGAAAAATTAATTAACATTACTCTGCAACATGACAAATAGAAGTGCTTCCACTTCTCGAAATGTTCCCCCCCCCCCCCCCCCCCACAACAAAAATGAACATGATAAAATAGTCAATGAAGAAAAATTTCAATCCAAAATATTTTTAATCAAGATGCAATGTCTGTTTATTTATTTGAAGTGTAACAATATTTATAATTTCTTACAGCTGAAAATTAGTTGCAGGAACAATAAATTACACATTTTTCAAACACTTATCACCATTAAAAATTTCAAGTTATTGCAATATTACTCCAGTCACAGAAGTTTGGTGCTGCTGTTGGTAAAAATATGGAGGTGGAGTGGTCTACAGAAATTATTATGTTTGTACCAAGTTTCATGAAAACTGGATACCTGGCACAAAAGTTGTTGGGAAAGGCAAACCAGACAAGCTAACACCATAATCCTACCATTTTTGTAATGTTGAAAGTAAGCTGAGAAATGCAACAATTGATATTAGACATGTATCAGTCCCTATGCTAACAATGAACACAGTATAATTTCTATCTGGATTCTTGCTTCTGTAATATTAAACCAAATTCTACTTATTTTGGTTACTGGATTTTGTTATTATGTGACCCTGTATCAACAGCTGAGATAAAATAATTTTTAAATATAATGAGATGATTATTAATGATGAATTAGGGTAAGATACAGAAGGAAGCAATCATATAAAATTTTAAGGAACTATCTTGACACTTTCTTAGTAAAACTGGAAGAAACAATGCTGAATCCAATCAGAATAACTTGGTTCAGGTTTGGATTTGAACTACCCCAATCCATTCTTTCTCTTTCTGTCATATAGGAACAACAGTATACCTGATCTCCATGCTCTCCTTAGAAATGCAAATGAGAAATTAAGTGCTGCTCTGCAACCGACTTTAGCGAGGCTGATGGTTGCCTTCTCTGCAGTTTTTGTGCTGGAAAACAATTTATTTCATTACCTCTGTGATTATCAAACTAAAGAACGACATACAGCAGATATATCTAATGTTTATACTGACTGAAATATGAATATTTATTTTTCAAACACAAGACATATTGGGATTTAAGACATTCAGTGACAAAATTCACAGCACATAAGTAGAAATTACAAAAATTACAATGTCATGAGAAATACTGGTGCTATTACAAACACCAGATGAACAAGCACTAGCATCTTTTCGATCCCTTGCATTTCTTATAAACTCTAACTACTACCTGGCTACTATTTCAGATTTAGTCACATTTACAATTTCTGAGACAGTTCTCCAGCTACTATTTGAGCTCAGGTTACTACATCAGTGCTGGCCTTTAACTGAACATAGTAGCCGATAACTCTCACCCTCTGTGGTCTCCAATGGCTCCATTTAAAGTTGTTTTCATAAGAGGTCTACTATCATCTGCTGGCAAGTGTCTTCCAAGTGCAACAAAGTATCTCTGAGCGACCATCAACCTCTGCCTTAATCTACAAGCTGAGAGGGTACTGCTAGCAGCTTCATGGCATAAAACCTTCTGTTCATAGTTGAGAGATTTAATGCACAACTTAAGTTGTTCAACAGCTGAAACAATGAATTAGTGAATCCACATTATCAACTATGTATTGACAAATATGCTACTGCCATGTAGCAAAACAATACAGAACAAAATAAAATGTTTAATGGCATTTGCCATACCATTCCACTTAACCTTCAAAGGTACATTCAAATACTGTTTTGAAGATATGTTACCACACAAATTTCAGAAAATGATTACAGACCGATCCACACAAACACACACACGCAGAAACAGAACTTATCACTTCATAAGTCTCCCCTATACAGACCAAATTAAAAATTATGTACACACGAACATTTGGTTTTAAAACACAAAGAAGTTCTAAGGTTGGAAAGGTCTATTTACCTCGTAGGATTTAAGGTTCTTAGCAGGGAGTACAAAGATGACCATCTTCTGTGTTGTAGCACCATGTAGTGTGGTAGAAGTTTACCAATGTTTCAGAGGTCCTTGTTGCCTTCATTATCATGGTGATGAGTGTCACACACATGGAATCACTTTGAGATACAGGAACCAGTCAAGGCAGACTACTCATTGTACTGATGATGGAGGCAGCAAGAATGTCTGAAACGTTGGTAAACATCTACCAAACTACATGACATAAAAGTTCAGTTCTGCCTCATTTTATTTGAACATTTGTAAAAAGTATAACTAGTTTTCCAAACTTACATGGCTGAGGTCCCCATACCCAACTGTCTATTTGTAGTTGTGAAGGTGCAGGATCAGCAGATTTAACTTCAACTCGAGCTGCCTCTTCACGATCAAGTCGCTGGCAGGGACTACAGTTGCAACCAGTTTGGGGACCACATATTCCATCACAACATGGACAAGTGAGGACTCGCAGACCACAATAATAATGACCACTCTCACCTAAAAAAGAAGGCATATCTTGAAGTTTATAAGTAGCTGAAGAATAAAATGATAATACTATAGTATTACAGGATACAAATCATGTAGTTTACTTATCTCTTGTCTTACTCCTACAGACTCTGTAAAAGAATTCACTTTAATTTAAAAATATAAATATTTATATAAATACTGGCTCTGTTTCTGAAACATCATGGTTTCTTCGTTTTAAACAAGGACGATGGAAAAATTCCAGACTAAATAATTTTACGTGAAATCCATCATTGTCACAACCCTTTAGAGTTCAATTTGTATAGATAATTTCACATAACTGCATTGTAAAACATAATATCCTTATACACGCAGATGTCTACAAACAGCTGAAAGAAGCAACTATAAATTTATATTTATATTTGGGTTAACTGGATATATGTACAGCACTGGATTAGCCCCATAAGGATCTATGAAATGTAAATAAATTCTAATTCTAATGAAAAGGTATTTTCCAATTTGAAATGTTTTAAATATTATTGAAATTTGGTTTTTATATCATGCATTCTTAAGACTTTATGCATTAAATTGTTTTCATTAATACAAATAAGCTTTGCTTTGAGCTTCATGTATAATCAAGATTACAGTGGATGGATACAGATCAAAATGAATTTTGCCCAAAAACTGTTACCTTCCCCCCTCCCTCCATACATAAATACCCAACTTTGAAGCTGATTAGTTCAAAGACATTTCAAGAACCAATGATTCAATGTCACTGAATATAACTGTAGCTGGAAAACTTAACATTGTAGTGTCTTGCTTAAGAATAAAAACAGTTTACCTTTGTGGGCTGTAATACCAACAGAATTTAATAAACCATCACTGAAAGAGCCTGTGAGTTCCCCATCCTTCACCATCTCATTCCATAATTGAGCAAGTCCATCTGTGCTAAGTGCTTGCTGCAGGTCTGTCTTCAGCCATTTGCCATCCAAGCGGCTGTGTGTGTGTACAACAATGTCAAGTTGCCCACTCATAATGAAATGTGGCCTTTATAATCAACGTTTAAGATAATAGTCATAATGTCTGGAAGAAAGAAAGAAATAAAAAAAACATGACTAAATCTGAAACTGATCATGAAGAGATGGATACACAATATATGATAATATCAAACACTTATGGTCCAAGATGCATATCTTGAATATACAGCACTAAGATGACACTAGACACAGCTGCCTTCAGCATCAGCATCCTTGGCATGACATGTTGATAGATAAGATGCATCATCAGATCCTTACTGAGATGGTGTGACACCCAACAAGTGAAATCCTGACTTTCTGCAATCATCTCTATAATCTGATGAAGATCAGACAACATGGCCTACTGCACCTGTCTCACATTGTTTTCATTCCATACACTGTAAGACATCTACTGTCTTCTGATTCATCATTTGTGGTGGTTTCTGGGTTGTGATGCCATGTAGTCTTGTACATGGTTACATGTCAACACTCTGGAGGAACATATCACATTTATCACAAAGAGAAAAGTGCTACAATGTAGATGAAGGTGAAAAGTCCCTCAAAAATGTCGGTAACCACATATAAGGCAACACAGCATGAACTTAGAAAATCAAAAATCAATTCAAAGCCATAAAAATCTCAAATATGATTCAAGATTCATTCTTCAAACCTGTGACACTATTCAAATATCTTGCACAGGTTTATAATTATTATTTTATTTACTGCAATTGGGTTTGCACCCAGTGGCAGTGGTCCTTACACTACATATATAGTTTGTCTATCATATCTAAAGTATCTGCAGCATTTCCATCACCAATTCAAGTTGGAAAAATTTTATTTTCCTGGTCAAAACTTATGAAAATGCAAAACACCATCAAAACTAAATGAAATCAATGCTAGAACTAGAACTGAAACTACATATCATAAACATTACAATTCAACAGACAGTAATAAAGTTTTTTACATGCAAAAGAAAATAATTAGAATAATGACCGGTGTCAAAAGCAGGGTATCTTGTAGAAAATTATTTCGTAAATTTAATATACTTCCACTTGCAAGTGAATTTATACTCTGCTTGCTATCATTTGTGGTGGAAAACATGGATAAATTTAAAGGAAATACAGATGTACATAATTTAAATACAAGACGTAAACATGATCTATATGTGACAAATGCTAACTTTACTAAATATCAGAAAGGAGTGTACTATAAAGGTATCAAGTTGTTTAATAATCTTCCACCAACAATTACAAGTCGAAATTATGATATAAAGGTATTCAAGCCTGCATTGAAAGATTACCTCTTTACTCACTCCTTCTATTCTGTAGATGATTTCATCTCTGCTGAAAATGTTTAAGCTTTATATCCATAATCTATGTATATGTTAAAGCAAGTTTTGTATTTATATTTAAAATTCTGAGGTTTATGTATATTAATTTGTAAAATTATTTTTCATACTTGTATTGCAGAATCTGAAATTTATGTACATTGATATGTGAAATACGTTCTTGTACTTGTGTTGAAAGTTCTGAAGTGCATGTATATTGTATGAAATGACATGTTCTTCATCCTTTGGTTGAGTCCTAAGAAGGATCTATGGAATGTAAATAAACTCTACTCTACTCTACTCTACATTAAATTTTGTGAACTTCTTTTCACATTATCTCTACATGATATTCAATTCAAGCTTCAGTCTGTAAATACCTTCTCAATCCTAAATACAGTGAATTAAAACTAGGAACCTCAATACCACAAAGTTCTGAGAATAAAACTAAATAAAATCATGGCCAGCTGCTGTTGTTAAAACAGAAGCTAGAACGAGCAGCCTTGAATCCTGACTTTGCTAGCATAAAACACACTTTGATACAAATGTGTATAGTATTTTATCGCACTCATTTTCACACTTTCATGTTAAAGTCAGTGAAAATCTCAGGCTATACAAAGGAAACACTATTTCCTATAATTCAAAACTTCTTCTTCTTAAAGTGCCTATCCGTTCTGGATGTTAGCGATCAGCATAGCAATTTGAGCTTTACTGGCTGCTATTTGAAACAGCCCTCCAGTGGACATCGAGAACCAAGTTTTTAGGTTCTGAAGCCAGGAGATTCTTGGCCTGCCAGGTCCCCTCTTTCCGAATACTTTTCCCTGGAACTCAAAACTATGAGTCTGAATATCCTACTGCCATAGGCATAACAGAACAAGTTTCAAATGAAGATAGGGATGATGTCTTTCAACCTAATATAGAAACATGGCCATACACATAAAAATGTTATATTCAGAACTTCCAGCAAGTCACACTGGGAACAGTATAGTCAGTAGGCAGTTCCTAGAAGCGACATAATGAACAATGAGGTTATTCATGAAAGACGTTTTACTAACACATTTTATACATTGATACCTACAATGTAAAAAAATCGATAAAAGTGAAGTATTACAACTCATACCACGTATTTCAGACAATGAGAAGACATGTTGCTTATTTGTCTGTACAAGCACACAGACCATATAAAACCCAACAATAAATCAACAAAAATACAAAGTCAATATTACATATCACACAGCTGACAAATGTCACTTCGGCTTCGACTCGCCGGCTTTTGTTATATTTCCTACAACATATGTAAGATGTCTCCTCTATCATTTTGTGTTCCGTTGTTTCCCCGTTCAATGAATGTGAGGTTATGTGCTAATAAATTATTCAGGTAGCCGCATAGAAGCAAAATGTATGAAAAGAAAAGTATCTTACTGGGACCTTATATTCCAGTTGCAGCAAACTTTCTATCAAAAATGACACCAGATATAAGAAAAAATGTTTTCAGATGTATGTTACAACGTGAGTATGTAATGCCAAAAGTTTTAATAGCTTTTCTTTTCTTGGTTTATTTAAGGACATTTTCTTTTGCGTAGGTTATATAACGTTCAATGTAAAGTGATTCGTAAGTCTTACAAATCAAGTCAAACTAACTAACCAGATGGCTTACCGAATCCGAAGGTTCGTCACCGAATTAACCAAAGCCCTCCACCAGACCCTGTCCTGGGCCACCAATATACAGTCTCCTTCAACTCCTATTTCCCATAGAACCTACCTGACATTATCCTCCCATCTGCGTCTAGGTCTCCCCAGCGGTCTCTTCCCCTCAGGCTTCCCAACCAATGCCCGGGGCACACATATTGTCCCATCCATGCATGCTACATGCCCCGCCCATCCCATTCTTACAAATCAAGTCTACTTATTTTAATTTTTAGGAACAGAATTATCAGGGATCTATGGGATATGCAATATGTCTGTGCTTCCTCATGTCTGATCAGTGACTGTAAGCAAATTTTTAAATTTTAGTTGCAGTCAGTTCACTGGAAGGAAAAGATATACCTGAAGGAGCATTGGACAGTATACAAGGGCAAGGCATATCACTGTCACAACTATATGAATCCTATGCTGGAATACTGACTCTTATCCAGTCATTTCTAAGACTACCACAAGGATCAGTTAATTCTGACCATTTGAAAGAAGATTTAAAGGAACTGAAGTAAGTTAAACAGATTACATTTTAGCATTGTAATGTAAAATACTGTACACTAAAATCTGCCTTATGCTAGGTAGCTAAGTAAAGGTACTTTTACATGCATCACAGAAACATATCCAATACAGCTGAGGAAACAAGAAAACATGTTTTTAAAACATTTAATTAGAAAATTTTGTTGAATTCAATTTTTGACAGCATAGTTTGTGGTGATATGTGATATAATGTACCTTATGTCAACTGTACTTTTCAAAATCTGCTCAAAATGAAAGTGATATTTGCTGTTTGACAGTTTTCCAAATAAGTACCAAAATTATTACTGATGTCATGTTATTCATACCAAGATGTCACTGGTTTAAATATTTTCTGTTCTGAGTAAGTATTGAAGGACTGGTTCAGAATAATATGTAATCAAACTGGGTTTTAAGTTTCTCAGTGGTGCAGATGTCATTGTTTTCTGGGTTATGATACCATGCAGCCTTGTAGGTAATTTTTTGTGTTTCGGAGGAAATATCATCTCCATCTTCTCCCTGCCACAGGAACCTCAAGTTTAAGATTTTTTCAGAAATTAACACCTACAGTTGCACTTTTCTTGTATTTAATTATTTACAAAGCATCAGATATGTGTTCTTTATTTAGATTTCCTGAAGAATGTCAAACAGACCTCGTAAGTGTCCTGTATGGACCAAAAAGACTGGCATTGGATGAGGGAATTTGCCAGGACAGTTTCTATTTGAAGTTAGAAAAGTTGAGATGGAGGGTTGACATAACCATTTCATCAAGGTAAGTAAGGTGTTGACATACATTTCCCATTAAAATGTAACAAAGAGTCCCCCATTTACATATTAATGGGCCCCTCTTTTGCACCTTGGATGTGCCTTTGGCTGAAACAATCAATAAAATTTGTGTACAAGAGATATCAACAAATCAATTTCCTGTGTTTATAAAGTTGCCATAGTTGGTGTTATTGAATTAAGAGGATTGATAGCCATTTAATATTATTAGTTGTTATTATTTAACAATGATGATTTTATTTTTCAGTGTTTTGTCAAGAGTTCTGGAACCCAGCATATTGTTTGATATGACCTTGAGTAATGGTGAAAAGAAAACATTTGAAATGTCCATTTCCAAATTCCATCAAGTAAGATACAGTGTAGCATCAGTTCTGAAAGAAATGGGGTTAATGGAAAAGAAGAAACTTTTCAAAACTAATGTGTAATACTTTGAAATATTTCATGAATTGGATAGCTGAGTCACTGTTAGCTTTCAGAAAGTAGTACTGTTTGATATCTGTAAATAACATTATAGATGAAGATAGCATAAAAGAAGAAGAAAGTAAAATAGGTAAAATAAGAGCACAAACTTGACTATCAGAAATGAATACCATTTATTTCAAATATCAAATTTCCACAATATCATCCATTTGTCTGTCAGTATGCTAAGGAGATTCATAATCTTTTGTGAATCTGTAGGTTTCCGGCTGGTATCAGAACCATATTATGGTCATTCACAAGTTCATATATACCTGCCATTGATATGTTTGGGATAACAAATGTTTTACACTACTTTTATGTTAATGTTTTCAAACAAGACTGGAAAAATGTCATGAGTTTGTACAATGCAAACAATTAAAACTAACATGCTATTTCTTATAATGTTAAGGAACTTAACAAAATTAAATGTAATAATTTCCCTCTTCATAAACAATCCTTCAGCTGCCTAGAAAGCTACCATTTTAATGCATTTATGGACAAGAGTGATTACATATTTATCCACAGTTCAGCTTCCCATATTTTAGAATGTAAAGAAACTATTAACTTCTGTCTTTTCTAACAGCATCAAAAAGGACTTAATTAAATAAGATACACAGTAAAGCCTTAGTGGTTAACAATTTATTCAAAATACTTACTTATGCATGAAAGTAAACAGTATTCACTAATAAATATGTTTATAATTTTATGTTTCCTACATACATTTTCTTTTTACATATGGAATGGTATATTACTCCTAGAAATATCAAATAGTTATATAAATGTGTCCACTTCTATAAAGTAACTCTAAACAAAATACAGTTAACATGTCTGAATCACTGCTACTTACTTCAAAGTAATGCAATATGAAGCATACACAATTTAATCATCTACAAAAATTGTATACACAACTACATTCACATGGAACCATGTTGCTTATTTACGTACCACTGCTTCATGAATATGACAATGCATCACCTCCAAGGCTAGAGAACATCATGCAAGACAAGGTACATGTTTGTGGTTTATGTCTTCTCCAGATATAGCTATGAGCACTCGGTGAAGTTGGCAGATGGAACAAAAAGGATAGGATTTCCATTCCAACTCACAATGAAAGTGAACATGGATATTTGGAATGTTTCATATCGAAGTGTACCATTAACATGAAATGTCCACTCATCACTTTACATACAAAAGCACACATTTTGAACAATGGTATAATATTCTCCTTATAATAATAAATATAAATTTGGTTGTCACTTTTAAACTGCAGTTGGTGTACAATTTGAATATGATCATGAATGATGGGTAAGTAAGGAGTGAGAAGATTACTGTGGTCTACTTCCAAATAATCAAATACTTGCTTGGAAACACTGTGGAAAATCATGTAAAAACCTCAATCAGGATTGCCAGTAACCTGCTCAAGAGCCAAGCAAGGTACTTCACAATGCAAGTCTACAGTGTTTTCACTACACTAATCAACTGAGTGTTAAAACTACAATATCTCCATTCTCATTGGACAAGATATAGGTGTGTTCTAGATGTACTGGTAAAGAGCAAATTTACCAAAAAATACTGCCAGAAATTGAGCCTTGGCTGAACAGGTCATAACCTGCCAATTTTTTGTACAGGCCATATATTAGTAATAAATAATTTGAAAATGTATATGCCTTGCAAGTAGGCATGGGTACCATGAGTTCTTATTATTGCACTCAATTTAGTTTAATACCCAGATCCTATGCATTCAGCAACATAATCGGAGCAGAAAACAGGTATAAAAACAAGTGACGAACAGTGAGTGATACAGATCAAACATCTTTTAGTACACTAACAGACTAACTGAATGATTTGTTTTAAGTTCTATTCAAATGCACTGCTTATTTATAACTGCCAACTCATAAACACACAAATATAAAACTCAGATGTAAAAGCAAGATTTTGGTATCCAGAGCTTTATTCAGAAAATTTTACTGTGTGAAGGTAGAGTTAAGTACAAAATAAAACTCTCTCCTTGCACCCTGTGTAGATATGAGCTGTAAATTCTTTAAAATCAGTGTAGGAAACAACTGAAAAACTTAATAAAAATTAAGACTGAAGAAATTCTTTTAAAGAACACTGACCCCTACCAGATTAAATTTGATTTTTTAAATGAACTGATGTCATGGATGAGGTATTTGAATGGTAGTGTATACAATTTGTGCAGACAACTGCACTGTATTGTACTGCAATAATTATGCAAGCTACATTTTGTTTTATCAACAACTAATATGCCTTCTTTCAACCTTACAGTTTCTTCCTTTAGCAAACTGGATTAAAATAATACACACCAAAATACCACTAAAAGTTTCACTCCTGATTGTCCTGAATATACAAGACAGTACACTATACTAGAACCACTGAGAAAACAACACATTTTCTACAAAAACTATAAAAACAGAATAATAAATTCCATATTTTATATTACCTGCCAACCCACTTGTGGTTACAATGACACACATGCACATAAAAATTAGTACATTTTATGGAGGGAAAAGCCTGCAAAATAAAGAAGACAGTTTCCTGTCACCCTGATGATGGAGGCAGTAAGCAACTCTGAAATATCAGCCAGCTTCTATCAGACCATATGGGGCAATATCCCAGGCCATCATCTTCATACTGTCATCATGAGAACCTAAAATCTCATGACTACAAAATAACCAACAAACAGAAATTACAGAGTAAAAGCTGAAGAATGCTTACAAGAGGAACTTGTACACCCAAGACTAAAAAAAAGCTGAAAGTACAATATTTTGCATGGTTTTGCATCATAATAATATTACATGCTGTAACAAATCTTGAAGCACGTCACATCAGATGACAAGTACAGCAGATCCTGTTTCAATAGTTCAGTTCATTCACTGGCATACAAAGGGTTAATTACATTAGGAAAATACGTTATAAAGGTGAATTAATGCACATGTGACACAGCTCTGTTGCATATTTTAATCCCTCTCTCTCTATATTTTCACAGCCACCATAACATTTTGCCAGTGCAGCATCAAAGGATATTTAAATTTCTAGCCTATTAATCACAGTATTAACAGTAAACATGATGCTATAAAATTTAATAACATATCTAATATGAACTAGACAAATGGAATGCTGTAAAGAGGTTACAGTGACACCAAAAAGAAATCACAGCTGCATATGGCAGGTGTTAGGAAAATGCATAACGTAGAAAATAATGAACACTTTTACTGTGATTGTCCCTGAATGTGGAACTGCAATGACAGTTTCAAAATATTACTTCCTTATTCATAGCATATTGTGATTAATTTTTACTTCATAACTTCATCTCTCAAAAGTGGCATTGTAAAGTTAACTCATATAACAACTACACACAGCATATATAAGTAAACAAATTATGCAAATCACACACGAATTAAGCTTTTAATTTCAAGAGAGAAGAAAAAAACTTCTGTTCTTTTCGTCTTCCATTCCTTTAATCCTTTCAATACAGGATAAGTCAAAAGTAGCTGCACAACTTTGGAGAACTCTAACCACATTACCTGCAGACAAAATGTGTTCTGGTTCGAACAAACGAAGAGTGCAACTCAATTTCAGCAAGATGGTGCACCTCCTCACTTCTATACAGATGTCAGAGCATGTTTGGATCTCCATCTCCCAGGTCAATGGATTAGGCGAGCAGGTCCAATCGCTTGGCCACCTCGTTCACCAGATCTCACACCAGCAGATTTTTCCTGTAGGGATACATTAAGGGTCACGTTTACCACCCACCATCACCCAACGATCTTATAGAATTACGGAAGAGAATTTGTTGGATCGAACCAGAACACACATTGTGCTCTTTCCTCACCACTATAAGTCTCAATTGTGTTTTCCACAATTCACAAGCGCTCTCAGCGGCAATGTGAAGAACTACAACAGACAAATGAAACTTGAGGTTACGCTCTATAGATATCTGTTGACATCAGCACATTTTGGCTGCAGGTAACAGTTCTCCAAAGTTGTGCAGCTACTTTTGACTTACCCTGTATTATAAAAGAATACACATCTCCTACGTACAAAATTTAATATTCCAGATCGTAGTTTTCTGGACCATCGTGCTTCTAGTGTTCTAGCTGGGGGAATATGCTATAGCCATCTTCAGGGTCCAATCCTTTAATTGTTCCACCAGAATGAATATAGAATTTTTAATATTTATTACAACTGAGAAAGTAAATAATCATTCTGGTACTGGAATGTAAGAAAACATAATCATCAGTACATGATTTACTAACATAATTATTTATAATTCTCCTTATAAATATGTGTGTGTGTGTGTTTTCTAAAACATACTTATGGTATTCTTGTATTGGATTTGCTCAGATGGGTGAAAATTTGACAGTGATGAAATTCAACATGAACCATGTACAGTTTTTAAAATAAAACAAGATTTCATTATAAGGTACTCACTGTGTGAACTTATTTACTACATACAGAATAAATGTGACATGCAGACAGAATCAAGAGGCAGCCAGTACAAAATTCATGCAGTTTGATTCTTAATGCATAGAAAACTTTTTATAATGTAATAAACTCATTGTATCACTTGTAATAGAGATTAGTTCACAGCCTTGAACCTCATAAACAATAAAATCAGAATTAGCAATGCTTCAAGTAAGAAAATAAAAGGTTGCAATGAATACAATCTCCCAACATTAACAAAAGATAATCGAAAACAAAATATTTATAGTCATATCACGAAACCCTGCAAGCTTACATTTAATTCCTACAGACAGAGTTTGAACTGTTTCTCAGCCATTAAATATTTTATATTTACAGTTCCATTTTGATCCATGAGAACAAAACAAATCCTCATCTTTGAAAGAAAATAAGTATGCAACATTTTATCAGAGAAAGGGAGGGGTTAAATATAAAAGTTAACTCATGATTAAGAAAAGTTATCTATTTCAAATAACACAAATTATATGAAAAAATAATGTGTAAATAAATGCATTATACATTCACAAGGTTTCTTTCTATGTGCCAAATATCAACTGCACATATACTTTCCATACAAAGTATATTAACTTTAACACTTAAGCCTTACTTTGATTCACTCTCTGCATAAAAGAAGTCTTCATTTACAAATTTTATATTATACAAAAGTTGGTTCAGTGAAAATATGGCAAATTCATTGATCTCATTATACAATAAAAACAATGATTAATGCACAGGTGATAACATGTGTGAAGCATGCATTCTGATATTAAGGTTCAAGGAAACAATTATACTTATTGTATGTGTACAAATATGTGATGTATCATTAGTCATGCAAAATGATAAACAGCTTAATATTACATTTCACATGTGCATTATACCACTCACACAATCACACTGTACACAACAGAAAAATGGACAGCCATAAACCAGACCTATTTGTGGCAGAATAACCAGGCAAGGAGAGACTGAAGTATGACCACCATAACAACTGTAAACACTAGTTCATGACTGAAACCAAAGCTGGAAACAGACTGCTTCTCTGTATTCTTCTCTCGCTGAACTTTTGCTAAGTGTTCCAAACCCCGCTGAATGCGACCTAGCTTCTCTCCATGGTCTTGTAATGTGTTTTCCAAACTAGTCACAGCTTCATTCAGTCTGTGAACATAATTATAAAAAAAGAACAAGACATCAACTTAAAATACAAGTTAACTGCAATACAATGAGTACTGCCTATAATAAGAAATTAATTACAATAAGCAAAATAACTTTCTCATTAAGAGATTCCTAAAACAGATGTGACTTTTGTCTATAACTTCTTGCTCGGACTGTTTTCTAAAGTTATTTGTAACTGGCAGTCCAATAAGACACCATTAACCCATACCTATTCCTCTCACTAGTCTAGGAGACAAAAACCCAGACTCTGGAACAGAGACTCCCACCACTCACTGCCTGATGCTCCGCCTTTTATGCCACAGCAAAGACATTTGGGAGCTGCATTAGCATTACATATGCTGTTACTCTACCTTTGCTATTTAATTTTTGAGAAATATAAGCCATCAATTTGTATAATCCTAGCATTTCTTATCTGGCATTACATAACCCATACAGCTGAGACAGTGTGATAAATAACTGAAATAAACAACATCCTTGTTCTAAGAAAACTGGCCCCTTGCAATTACCTGGAGTTAGTCCTACAGCAGGTGTGAGAATGTGAGCGAGACTCATTTTCCGACTGGCTAGAGTCACTGCGGAATTCTCCATCTGGAGATGAACTAGCACTGTCTTGCCTCTCCACTGTTGCCACTTTTGAGGAGAGATGATGCTTGGAAGACTTGAGTGCAGAAATGGAAGATCTGGACTCTGTCTGCAATAATGGAACCTAAAATGAATAAATTTAACAAGACTATCAACCAGGAATAAATTAAATGCATCACTAGTTGGAGAGTTATACAAAAAGAAGTGAATTAGCATATTGTCTGGCTTTTATCAGAATTACTGTAAGACAACATAATATTCACCATTTTAATGCCTCCAGTTGCAGTTTTGATTACCTGGTCCCTGAATACCTAGTAATAATGAAACCACTTTCGAGGTGATAGCTCCCAAAAGGCAGCATAAACGTCCTATAGTAGTAAACAGAGTGGATGAGGCCTGGTGGATCTCACATTCACAAAGTTTTTACACTGTCTTTAGAAATTACTGTGCTGTCGAGTTTCATTCAAAAAAGAAAAGTTGCAAAGAATCAATACTTCATCAGAAAACTACATTACATATGATAAAAATCACAAGCATTCAATGGGGCCTTAAAGGGATTGATGGTGAACAAGGGAGAATACCTGTTAGAACAAAAACAGGAAGTGAAGAGCTTACCACTGTCTGTGGATCCACACTCACTATACTTGCAGTCCTGATCATGGGTGTCTGATGCCGTGTCTTGGTTTGAATTACATAGTTATATTCATATTGGCACACATCATTGCGAGGATCCCACGGGCGAAGATCTGCATGCTTGTACATCCACTGACCCGAAATAAGATCCTGCAATATAAAACAAAAGTTTCTTTCAATAATTATTTATAATTTTCTGTATTTTCCCTTCATGATTATCAAGCTAATATATGTCAGTTAGTTCCTAATATTATGAAGACATGTAAACAGCACCTGTTCAAAATATTTTGGAATCCATTCCACACATTTAATTTTGCGTTCTTTAACTGCTGCACGCTGGGCTTCCTCTAAAGCAGTCTTTTCCTCTGTTGCTGCAACCTGTAAGTCAAGATTTGACATTAAAAACCCTGATAAAATACACATAATCTTTACATAATATCTGGCATGTAACAGGATTCAATAACTTCAAATGGATTCTCATAAAATAAAATGTAACTTAAAAATTATCCAAAAACACAAAAATGGCATTCATGTAACTGATGACAAGTGGATGTAGTGAATGAAATACCCATTCATTCCCTGGGCATAAAACTATAAAAGTTGGTGGAGCATTCTGTTCACACTGAACTCTATGACAGAAAATGCATAACAATTATATGAATCTTAAAATTTTTTAATGTCTGTTTCTAAAATCAACTCATCTCAGGCAAGCTGACAACCATATTTTTCAAGCCCTGATGAAGAAAATTATCTGTGATCAGACAATAATTTTTTTTTCTGTAATTTAAATGTAAGAAGAAAGTTAAGAAATTATTTAAAAGTCATCACACTAATACTTAACCCAGAGATGAATATATTATTTCACTTTGGTCACAGAACTAAAAATAGATGTATGAAATAGCTAAATTATATAAGATTCATGAACTATTTTGTTTACCTGGTCATCTCGAGCAATTGCTGCTGACACATGTTGCCATAACTGTTCTGACTCAAAGTCTCCCTGCTGATCCACTGGCACTGTGAACCGTTTGAGTCTCTGGGAACGTACTTCTGGGGTTGGTTTCCAAAACAGCTGCTCTTCCTATAAAGGAAACAGCTACTGTGCTCCATACAGTTCAATTATAACTCTGGACTCCATTATTAAATCTTACACATCATTACTATCTTTTCTACATAAAAAACTAAGACTGCTATAAAGTGCACAGCTTAGCACAGACTGACTTTTCATATATGCCAAAGCATATTCACAAAGTCAATTTATGCATGTGATTGTTATTACCTTAGAAATTTGTTTCATGATGGAAAAATTGTAACATAAATACTTACTAGACAGTACATCACTACCTGTAACCTTTCTTCTGATTAATATTTAATTAATATATCTGAAAAAATATGCATAGAATTTTGTAAAAGAAAAATTGTGATGTATAATTTGTAACATAGAAGAAAATAGTTTGTAAATGAGGAATCATACTAAATGTTACTAAAATTAATTTACTGAAGTTGGCAGTTATTTATCTGTCAATAAATACGCAAATTAACATATGAAAGCAGAGACATGGTCTTTGTCCATTATTATAAAATATGTTTCAGATGTAACCAACAGGTCATTCCATCACTCACAATTCTAAGGCTGGATGAAGGAAATTCAGGTAAGAATGAAATAAGAATTCATTAGAACCTGAACCACAGATCTCACTTACTTGTCTTATTAGAATGTAAATGCACCAACCACAAAACTGAATACCTCTTGATGTAAATTAGTATTGATAAACTTACACACAAAGTATCTACTGTACACAATATGATGCACAGAAGAAAGTTTTAAAAGCAGCCAGGAAATGATCAGCTGCAAATACCAATGTTCACATACAAATGATCTATAACAAAGATATAACAAAATTTTATTTTATTCTGTGAATCTGCATTTTATCATAACAATACACTTACCCCTGTTCTTCTGTCTTTAATAAATATGCTACCATCCCAGTATCCCTCTATAGTAGCAAGTGTTTCCTTTCCCAACTTCAGTCGACCAGATATTGTATTAGTTTGTTCTGCACCTCCAAGAAATGGCTGATGTAACACAAATAAGACAGAGCTCTGTCATTAATATTCTAAGGCCAAATAATATTTCACTAAACAATACATCAATTTTTAACTGGTTCTTGATTTATTCAATGCTTTCATATTAATGACACAGACTGGTGCACTTCATGTATTAGAGAACAAGTGGTTGTTGGTAAGATTAAGAAGTTTCCTATGATTCTCTTATAGAACATACTGGAAAGAAAATGATAATCTTGACAAAACAATATTTTTACGGTAAGCTACGAGAAACACTATTCATAGCTTCAAGTAGTTGCAACATTAAAATAAAAGAAATGCTTCATAAAAACAGAGAACTAATTTTTCTCAAAAACATCATGATATGCAAATAAAACTCTTATGTTTCCCATTTACCTAACTGCATGGGGAAACTTTTTCATTCTGTAATTACTGAATAAAACATTCTTAAAAACAGATTTCAATCTTCAAGATGAGTGGTAATAAAACAGTGGAGAATCCTGGTCTAGAAGTCAGGGCAAGCAGAATTTACACTGCACATCCTGACAGTAACAAACAATACTAACATTCTAAAAGACTGAAAATAATTACCACCATACAAAAAAGGCATGCTTCTGAGCCACCCAGTTCAGCAGATGAATCTACACAATGCATGCAGATGATTTCAAGCAAAATGTTAGAGCTTTTATTGAATACAGAAAACACTTTATTTTTATATTCCTGTAGTTATTGTGGATGTATTACAACCAGACCAGATCATTCACCACTGTAGTATCAAAAATACTATAATTTCACTATGAATTATAAGATTAAATCTCAATATTACATTTTATCAATATCTGTAATTAGTACATGAACATTTTTCTGAGTTAAAACTTGCGAGTGGCATGCCAAAACATCCCAATATGGACTAATAATAAATCCAGTAGATATACTTTAGTAAAGGAAGATTCTGTGCCATGGAGCTGTTTAATGAAAACATGTTCAGCCAGTGCCGACAGACACTGTTCTGTGAATCTGAACAGATCCCACAATCACATCACTGGCGCTTAAAAGGAGCAATAATGAAGACGAATGTTCACGTATCCCTAATTTTAATCACAGTAATATTAACAAACCTTCAATTTAAATTCAATTTCAGTTTTATAACCAGTTTTCTCACAGTCAATGACAACCTTCCCTCCTAGTTCCATTGTGAGGGTGCCCATGAGGATGCCTTTACAGTGCGCATAGGGAATGGTTATACTGTAGTCTTCACCGCGAGGCAATAAGGTAAGCAAAGCCACACCATCTAGAATTGCTGAAGTAGAGTTGCCTGAAAATTACATACAGTCTTACTTAAGCAAATATACAGCAGGCATATTCAACATGCAGGGAACAAGATATTTATACTGATGATACATACCATAAAATTTAGATTTTGCTAATATAGATGCACTGATGCAGAAACCATCTTGCCGGTTTGTCACATAAAATGCAGAAACTGGTGGATGATGAGAGACCTGCAGCAAAGTCAAAAATAAATACACTCAGAAAACTGAAGTTATGGTAATTCTTTAAACATAATCCACAGTTTTGTTTTTCATTGGAACTATAATCTTCCAAATTTGAAATATTACTGATAGCTTCTCACTTAACTTACATATTAAATAACTGTGAATCACAGATAAATTCAATTTGTCATCACTTATAAAAAAAGGAGCATATAAATTAAAATATTGCAATATTACATTACTACTTATGTGTAAACAACTAACATTACTGTGTACCATAAACAAGCAATGTAATTAATTTCTTTTGATGAGAATAATTCACAAAAATGAAGAGAATCCACAAGTTCTATTAGGAATGATGCATCATATGAACAAAATTCTGTCAGCCAAAACAGTTCAGCAAAAGTAAAGTTAAAATAAGCTGACATCCAACGTTATTAGTAGTGTGTCACAGACAGAATGGCTAAGAACAAAAAATTTCCTTTGGGGGGAGGGGTTGGACAGAAGGCTACTTAGGATTATTTCTGAATAAAAATTTGGATTAAAATTAGAATTCACCTGTTCAGCCAAATAAAATGTCCTAGATCCATCAGGATGCTTCCAGTAGCACCGAAATGTTTCTCCCAGGATTGGATTGTAAGGTTTCTTCAGACCTTTTGGTTTCTTGTAGAAGCCTGAGAGGTACCACTTGACAATTCCTTTCATTCTAGTGAATGCATCATCTTCCATTACAGCCCTGAAACAAATATATAATTCAGATATATAATAACAAATTTTAAACGTCATCTGGTGTGCAGACAAACAAAGTATCATTATGCCATACTATAGTATTTTTCAGTGAAATTGGTGGCTGAATCAAGTTCTGCTCTTTGTGAGTGACCAATCAGTGCAAAGAAGGTCTGTTGGTAAGCAGGGATACCTCAGTCTGTTCAGAAACCCCGTGGTAGAAACATCGGCAACCGCACTGCATTGTTGCCAATTCTTACATGTTCTTTGCGTAGTGTTGTGGAATCCAATGTTTCACGATGCTACATCTGGCACCACTCCATGTTCTTTCCTCACCATCTCGCCCCTCCACCTACCACAACTACTTCCTACCAAGGCACAGTACACGTGATTGGTGCACGCTTCAGCCGCCAATTCGGCTGAGAATGGTTATAACCTCTACTGTACAGGAATAGAGGATTTAAATCCTCATATTACCGAGCTGTTAGTCAGACCTTAGCTCCAGGGTTTATGGTTTAAAGATATGTTAGTATGAAGAATAAAGGTTAAACACACCAAAAACCTCAACAACTACTGGTAAAGTTGCCCCTGGTACTTAACTAAGCACCACGCAATACTGATGTATCGATTAAATTTAGACCAACATATACTTAAACCATGCTACTCAGAACCCCCTTATCAAAAAATAAACAACTTCCTAATCGATTTAACAACCCCATCAAACACACAAAATTTAAATTAAAAGAAAAATAACCAGTGTCCAATCCACTTATTAGTGTCATAATTATACCAATTAAGCAATTACAGAATGTTTGAAGATATACATTTAAATCACATGGTTCTTATGTACTACAAAACATAATTAAGAAATAATTTGGGGAGAGGAACTAAAATTATACCAATGTCTGGAAAGTGATAACTGAACATATATAAACTCCTTGAGCCCATCTTCAGAAGCTGGTAGTTGCCTTTTATTAAATCCATACGTTCATTACCAAGTTAGCAAGACAACACTATAACTGAATATAAATTCACAAAAATGTACAAAATTGCATAAAACATTCCAAGTACAAAGGCATGGCCAAATTCAAAAATCTAACAAATGCAGATGTGTACCTGTAACAAAATTCATTCAACTATTCAATATACCTTTGACATTGCCCTTTCAGAATATTACATGGTACAAGAACAATACAGAACTTACTTTGAGAGAATGTCAGCATGGTAGTACGAGTCTGACAGCTTATCCAGGAACGACCGCGGCTCCAAAATAAATGTGGGAAGCACTACTTTGGAGAGGTCCATGCCTGGCCGCACCTGCTTCACGAGGTACCAGATAAGGGACTTGTGTTCCTCAGGAAGTTCTTCCACTTGCTCCCCTGCCTGTACCGAACACCAGTATTCACTATATAGGAACAGAACATGTCACTTGCTACAACAACAAATGGTCTTTTTTAAATTCATAATCACATCTTTTCCAACTGCAGTGAAGCTTGCACAAGGCCTCATTAAATTCTCTACAGACTTTGGAAACGCCTCAAAAAATTAAAGGCCAGGGCACACAGTCAAAAGTGACTACATACTACACTCTGTTACAGAATGACCATATGAAATTATTTCTGGTCAGTGGCTATAAAATACACAATATTTTCACAGAAGTTTTACACCAAAACAAAATGCGTTTTTTAATAGTCCTCCACAAGTCCAATATTCAGACAATAAAATCAAAGTTCACACAAACTAGCTGAATCCTGTCTTCATGACCACAATCAGTCCTCAATAATAATAATAATAATAATAATAATAATAATAATCCGTGGCATAACAGCCATCTGAGAGCCTAAGCCGACTAGCTGGCTGCTGGCCTCACATTCACATGCCTAAGCAGAGGTGAACAATCATCCAACCAGATATAGGGTGACGTGTGGTCAGCACAATAAACCCCCAGCCATTGCTAGTTTTTATGACCGGATTACGCTACCCATTGTAGCTCCCCAATTTCCTCATGATGCTGGGTTGGCACCGGTCCCATACACAAATCGAAAATCTCATGAGAAATTTCTTTCCCTGAGACTCGAACCAGCGCACATTCTGTATCACTGGTCCAAAGCATGATGCCTCAGACAGCGTGGCTACGGTGCGGGAATCAGTCCTCAAAAAAGTGATTTTCTTAATATACTTCAACAATGTGATTTACATATGCAAAGCATGAAGTACCTCTAACCAATTTTTGTATTATTACATTACTAATATCACTCATTACTTTTCATAAGATTCAAGCTGGTTGGTCTTTTCTACATGTGAATAGATGCTCAAAGAGTGAGCATGCTGAAACTGTATTTACTGTCACAAAAAAATAATTTTACAGCATATCATTGTGCCAATTATCATTTTACTGTATGAGACAAAAGAATGTAGTTGGCATTTCACTGTCTATGCAAGCGAACAGGTTAATAACAGTAACAGGTTTTTAAAGGAAGGATTAACATTGCAATACAATAATACAAATGATAAATGTAATTACACTGCCAAACTCCTCCACTTCACCATGATGTAAATAAGTAGTTTCAAGTGGCTCTCCTTCTGCTTCATGTGACTCCTCCTTTTTGACAGATGCTTCTGAATCTGACTCGGACAAGGACCCCTGCTCTGCTCCACTGAGATGATCGCCAACTCCTCCAACATCTGGCTGGCTGATGTCATCCAAATCTGTGTTGTGAGGGGAGGGGACTAGAGTTATCTGAGGGGAATCACTACATTCACAACTTGAGGGAACACTTACATGGAAAGTGCCACATTCAGCACCTCGTTCAGAAGTAGAAGAAAGGTGAATGGGAGAGTCTGTGTAGGAGAAAGAAGTACAGGGCCTGAAGTCATGCTGCGAAGAACATGGGTGTGGACTACTACACATATGAGATGGGGACTCACTTAATTCTTGTTCCATATAAGCCACTGCATGATACAGTTGCTGGAAAAAGGGGGATGGGGAAGGGCAGGGACTCATTCCAGCAGGGTGAGGTTGCAAGCGGAACTCAGCTGAAGCTGTAGTACCGTGGGAGCTACAAGATGCAGCTGAAAGCAACATCTTACTATGTGGAGTGATGGGAGACTTTGGACAGAAGCTCTTCAATAACCGACCAATGGATGGCAAAGCATCAACTGGAAAATATACATAACAGGATAGGGGAAGAAATTCAAAAATGGTATCATATTTCTGTTTGTTAAGATACTTCAATATTGTAACTACTTGTAATCAAATCTAATAATATTGTTAACCTAAACACAACCCAAAGAGGAAAATAAAGATTAAAGTCTTATAATATGCAATTATGAGTTAAATATTTCAAAACCATGAGAAAATCAATTAAGCTCTGAAAAAGTAAGTTTAGTTCCTGTCTTTACACACACAAAAGCTAATCAATTCTGAGGGATTTGGATGATGATGGTATAATACCAAGTGGACTGCTGGGTTTTTGGACTTTGTCCATCATCTGATGGATAAGGTCCAAAAACCCAAGAATCCAAAACTAATGATCTATAATTTTCTTAAAATAAGCCAAACAATGAACAAACAAAATAATACATTTATCCAGAAGGTAGATACTCCAAACTATGTTACACATCTGTCTTGATTTTATCACTGGTTCCAGAAAGCTATGTTATATCCCCTGGCCTAGATAACACAACTGTGTTATATAGTTTCAGGACTCACCATGGTCTGTAAAGTGCTTTTCATAATCAGCCTCACTCCACTGTGTCTCATGATTGGCTGTGGTGTCCTGAACTCCTGACGATTTGGAGCTCATCGAGCGTACTAACAAGGATGAACATCGCAAAGACAATTCCAAAGCATCCAACCAACACTTTCCAGCAGCCTGAGAAGGTGCTCTGAAGATTAAGTAAGCTGTTGGTAGTGGTTGAACTACTGCACCTACAAGAAATCAAACTAACATTTTATTTTTGTTTAACTGAACAGAAAGAAGACAAGCTTACAATTACATCTTCCTAGGGAAGCCCTCTTATATTCTGTAATGTAAAAGTTGAAATAATAATCTGTATGCTCTGCTAAATAGTGCAAGCCTAAGCTAAGAACACATAACCAAAGGGCCAGCACTGGTTTATTTATAAGAATTCCAAACTACAAGTTTCTTTCACAGTCAAGTACAAGCTCAATTTCATATTGTGTACATCAACTATGGGATCAAGGGAAAAATCTCTGCAGTTATGTAATCTGACCTTAGTATAAGACTTGAAATTAGAAAGATACGAATGGGAGAGGCTTGAAAAACAAAAATGTATTTTCAATAACCAGAATCTAAAAATCTGAGAAAAAACAATTTCAGACTTTTACAGAATGGGAGTTCTTCATACACAGAAATATCATACATAGCATGTACTGGGTGTACCAGAACACAAAATTTTATTTTCAATAACACTAAATTTAAACATATTAAGCACCTTCTTATGCCCATGTCTGAAAAATTGAAAAATCACTGATGCATAACAAACCTTGTTAATCCCCACACGGAGACAAACACAGTTAACACAGAATAAAAGAAGATAATAATGAAACACACTCATTTTCATTACTTGTATTCATTTATTTATTTATATGTGGTTTATTTGACAATGCTCAAGTAACTTTGCACTCATTAATTTTACCAGTCAATGAGTTTAAACAGCTTGAAATCCCTACCTTGACAAATATATATAAAAAAAGATAGGCACAACACCATAAAAAGTCTTATAACTGCGACATAATATTTTATATTTATAACCTATTAAAATTTAAACAATCAGTATATATTTGATGCTATGTAACCCTTGCAGTTAAGACAGCATTATTAAATAACCAAAGTCTGTTTCAACTTCCTTTACTTAATTCACAAACTCCCTTCAGAAGCATACTGGGAATCATTCATAAAATTACTTGAATGTGAACAGCAGTAACCATGTGTCTTTATTAAAGTGCTCTTTATATACACCACAGCAACTCAACACCGATTCAGGAAGTTGGGTCTGGGTAACAATCCACACTGTCACCAATTTAACAAGTAATTTGATACATACAATTAATTCTCACCTATTGTTTCTTTTTCTGGTCCTCTAGGTGCCCATATGGACTGCTCCAAGGGATGAAAGAGCTTGAAACAGAATCCATCTTTCTTTGATGGTCTTTCAATAACGTGGCAAGTATTGAGAAGAACTGTCCCAACCCAATGGTTACTCTAAAGGGGAATAATTTGTCCAAAGTTACAATTATATTAAGACCAATCCACAATATCAATTTTATGCATCCTTAAACTAACATTTAGTAAAATAGTGGTGTTTCATTGATGGTCTATGCTGGTACATTCAATACACAATGCACTTTTCATCCAAATGTTTTCCAGTATTTCATGACAAAAACTTTGGAAACTCAAGAGTAATTTTGTGTAATTTGTAGCAGCTCAGTGTAACAGGTATAACTCAAAATAACAAAAGGTAGCTCAGGCATCTTGGTGTAATTCTGGATAATTGTGATAACGTGATGTAATTGGGAGTAACTTTGTATGACACAGCTATGAAGTATATGCTCTCTATTTGCTTACTTTTGTTTTGGGGCTTTTATACAGCAGTAGCAGCCCAGGTTTCAGAATACACCACAGCTTTGTCCAGCTTTTAAGTGTTCCTCTAACTTTCAGCCAGTCAGCCAAAACAATGACAGATGGATCTTTAAGTGAGCTAAGTAGCTCATTTGCCACCCTCTTTTTTTCACGGCAGTAATTCTTTCGTTGAGCCTTGTAAGATTCCTTTCTCGTGAGTTTATCTGTGTCTGGTGTGTGGAGCTGAAACAAAGAGGCATAAAATATATACACCACTAAGAAAGCTGGGCAAATTAAATACTGTCAACATGTGCTGTGTACAAATTTCCCAGCAATGTGACAGAGAATATAAAATACCACATAAATTTAATTAGCCGTGTTGTAATAACTGACCGATTCTTGTTTTTTAATAGAATGGTCATGAAGTATCAAATGGCAGAATGATTGTGAATAGTGAATTGTAAATAATGCAGAAGGAAGTGGTCACAGTCTATTTTCAGTTACTGAAGGAGCTGAAGAAAACTCGGGACTTAAAAAATACAAATTTGGAATATTACCACTTAGCTGTAAAATCTGATGTGCAATAAGAGACCAAAACAGTTTGTATTTTGTGACATTACACTCATAAAAAAATAAGTCAGGCATATATACAACAGGACTTTTTCAAACCAATATTTTACATTTAAATTTCTCCATTAAGTCATATTCATTTCAAGCAAAACAGAGTGGATAACTTTCAAAGTAGTAGATCTATTCAAATACATGTATTTGTGACAACACTAAAAAATGCTTTCAAAAACATCAATGCTCACCTTATCTGGTGAAGGATGGTCAGCTTTTGCACTATTATCAAGCCAATTTATAACACCTGAAAACACAACAGTAAATAGAATCTGCAACATACCAACAAGTAATGGTGAAGCATGATATGACATTCAAAAGGCTAAATTTATCTTACAAAATAAACAACAGTTTATATTTCCAAGATTTAAAACGATATGGAAACAAAGTTTGTATCTAGATACTAACAATTATTTCCAGTGATGTTTCAGTATATTTAACTATAGAAGACACACAGCAAACTTTAGAATTAAACCTTGGTGACATGAATAAAAAATAGTCATTGGTGCAGGGTCATGTTGAAAAGCTTATAGTTGCTAAACTGACAAATACAATTCTCTGCTTTCTTTCATAGGACTAAAAATGTCATTACTGTGTTCAGGAAAGTCTGTAACTGAAGCCTAATCCTGAGCCAGTACAAACCAAACATGTTTCTTGGGTTAGTTAATATAAAAGCTGTTTAATAACCTTTTATATAACATCCCACTGTGAGTGCGTATAAGAAAAACAAACAGTATTGTGATATAGTTCTTTAGTGCAGTAAAATGATAAAGACAGGAGAGACATAATATTTAATGCAAGTGAATATCATATACCATTTCCTGTTCTGAAAAGCATGAAAAGTTTGATCTATACAGCCATATAATAAATTAAATACCACAGCATGACAGGCTCCAAAACTATACAAAGACCTGACATTATATGTGTTTTACATTAATAAATGCTCCAATCCCCCTCACATCCTAATTTATTTTCTGGTAAGGCTGAAATGAAACAGGATTTATAGCCTGAAATTAAATACAAATAGGTAACCCTGCATAATAACTGTTATTGTAAAAAACATACTATCAATTGAATATCACTTCTGTGCATTATATCTGTTCATATGTGAAAAATGTTACCTGGAGAACTTGGACCATAGTTGAGAGATTCACTAGAGGGCAGTTTTGGTAAAAGAACTTGTAGACTTGTTCGCCTAGATTTCTTGTCATCTGCTTGGACAAATAAAATGAAACAGGATATTCAACATTCTTTACTACTATAGTTCTTAATCTACTACAATTCTGATTGGTGATGCCAAATTTTTGCAGTAACTGAAAACCAAAAATATATTCTATTAGCCAGGATATACATCCAGCTAAGAAAGTTTTGAAGTAAACTTATCAGATACATGATATACAGTCATTAAATGACTATACTGATCACTATGCACCAGCAAATAATAAAAATGATGCATAAAATAAATATGGTATTATCATACCCATACAATTTCAGTGAACATAACATTGCACATTCCATGTTAAGTGTGCCATAATGCCCAAAAATATTCTACAAAGATCATAATGCTATCCCATTATAACACAATCCACAGAATTTATAATGGGTTAGATTATGGTTGTGACCACATTCTGACATCTCTCTGCAAAAGTACCCAAAGTCAGAACAAATTTAAATTAACTTTTTAGAACTTAGCCACATCCTTGTACCATGTTTTCTTTTATATTGGAACACTGATGTACACCACATCCTTTTTTGTTTAGATTAACTTGTTGCATGTGTAATAAATAAGTACAGATACAGTATTAAAAGTTGTAATTTCCTTATCAATTTTTAAATTCCTTTCCTCATTCACAAAGATCAATATATACACCACTTGTCAATTTTGGTTTCAGTCTTGCAGATGGAGGCAGTACATCCTTCTGAAAAGGTGTGTACCTAAAGTCAATATAGTGTCAAAACCCAGAAGACCAACAGTGACATCTTCAGTGCCCTGAGAACCTCAAATCTCACATACAGACCTGGATTTCTGTTTGCTGTACCAGGAGATAGCACAAGTTTGTTTCCAGAATCATTCGGATGACTATGGGACTGAGATTCAAATGCAGAGTGCCTGGAACCTGAAGTAGGTACAGGTATGGGAGGTGAGCTCATTGTGTTACTGCAAACAGACAATATACACCATCTCAATTTGACAGAACCAACTTGAACTCTGTACAATATAAAAGCAATTTACAATTCTTGATAAGGCATATTAAAATTAATAAAAATATGTGATCCATGAAACTGCTTTATTATAAGAGCATTATATTATGTTTCTCAGATAGCATTATTAAGATAATGTCAACTCAGTATACCGAAGAGAGTGCAAAGGAACAATTCATCATCAACTTCTCTATAATATTTTCTCCTCATAAATATAAATACATCAATATCAGCACTCCCTTGAAAAATAGGCTTTTTTCTCATTTTGCTTTCCTCATAATTCATAATAAGCTTAAATAAAATGATGATTCCATGGCAAAATTCCTGTGATATTTTAGAACATAAACATCACAATATCGGTACTATGGAGACAAAGATGAAAGATGTAAAAATTTGGCATGCCAAATAAGAAGACATTTTACTTTGGTAACTATACCATGTCCATAACCTTACCTCATTAAAATTTCAAAACATTATACGTACTACTTATGGTGATTGCGAAAAACAATTCTGCTAAACTTCTAATCCTTAAAATGTGTTTTGTTTGAACTACTGGACTCAAAAGAGACCATAAATTTCTACAGGAACTTCTTCACTGGAAGTTCCAAGTAACATAAATGGAATGATAATTCAATGTAAATCAAAATGTTATATGTAATGTTTGCCAGCTTTCTGAGGAAGTCATAATTTTTAATCACCCGCACTCAAAGTCAGGACATTGAAATAATTTAAATCCTGTATCAAGATTTCTAATTTTATGTATCTCTGATAGATTCATCCATGCAAATTCAATTACAATGCAAGGTACCACAAAAATTTGCATGCAACAAACAAAGTCCTAAAGGCATTTTTCCTGCTTATAACAATACTAATAACTTGGAACTTGCAATATAGAGTAGATAGGGTTGTTAAAAAGCAACTGACAATGGCATAGGTATTGAAAATATAATAAAACTGTACTGTGGTCACATGCGACTATGATAACTCTTTAAAAAAAATACTTTCTACTGCCCGTAAATTTCTGATATTATGCCTGTATTTACATTTCATCCTTAAAAAAAATCTACATCATCAAAATTACATGTACCCTGCAGAACAATGGATCAAATTTTCAGATCTGTATGTTCACTGCTAATTTTGCCAGTTCCACACACCAGCTAACTCAATAAACACTTAATAAACAAAGAAGTTACAAAATGAACAGACTCCATTGCAAACAAGGTCATAAATAATTACGCATCAGGAAATAAAGAGAAATACGCAAGATGCTGCATTACATAACATACTATTCATTACATATACTAGTACAATGAAAATGTACAGATGACACAGCAGAACTCTTTGTTGCCAACCACAGGGAATAAGGCTGTGATTCTGTTTCTTTCAGAATAAAATAACACCAGACATTCTTATTTTGAAAATAAATTTTTAGCTAATGAATAAAATGCCTGTTACATTTACAAACATAATTTTCTTAACAGAGTCTGTGCATGAAGTATGAAAATCAGCAACTAAAGTCTTCACTATACTTACACAAATACAATACAGGAAAATAAACAATTGTAGGACATAATTAATACTGTGATAACTGTCAGTAAAGTTGTAACCTTTGGAAGAAACAGTTTGGGTTTAATTACTGGCATGGGCATTGTAATTTGATCTGTTACCACCATGTCCAAAATAGCTCTGCATCCTTCCAGTCTCCTACCCAACTGGTTCTGGGAGGATACTTCAAATAAGGGTAAAGAAGCAAGTAGACAGCCATTCACTTTTATCCACTGTGAAGACTAATAAATAATAAATACACATAGTCTAAAATCCATGGCTTCTGCATACCTTTATGATGCTCTTCAGCAAATAAGTAACTTTGCTTGGTTGTCTTTTTTTCTTTCTAACTACATCCTAGTTTACATGTTCATTCCCAGACACATGAGAAGTCTCAGAAGTTACATAGTAATCATTTTTACAGCTACCATAAATAGAAAAATTAATTCTGTGCAACTACCATTAATTCTCAAGCATCTAGGACCCATAAAATGTGCAAGGAGGAAAAAAAATCCAACAGTCTAAGCTTTGTTACATGATTGGTGTTAATTAAGCTATGAAATGAGTAAATGCAATTCTTACAGGTTGGGAAAAGCTCCTGGCGGTGACAAAATCACAGCAGAAGTTTTAAAAGCAGATATAGGAACTACAGCAACAATGCTACAACCACTGTTTCACAAGATATGGGAAACAGAAGAGAAACTCCAAGAATGGAAACAGCTTAATGATTAAAATACCAAAGAAAGGAAACTTGTCATATTGCCAGAATTGGAGGGGAATAACCTTATTATCAGTACCCTGCAAAATTTTCTCAAGGGTGATTCTGAAAAGAATAAGTAAAGCAATCGACCATAGACTACGAAAAGAACAAGCGGTGTTTAGAGAAAGAAAATCTTGTATTGACCAAATCAATACACTTCGGATTATCATTGAACAATCTTTATAATATTACTCGTCTTTATATATGACTTTCATTGATTTTGAGAAAGCCTTAGATAGAGTCAAAAGGGATAAAATATGAAATGTTATGGAATACCAGAAAAAAATATTAAAATAGTGAAGGAAATGTATAAGGATAATACCTATCAAGTAGAAAATTGTGGCAAACTTTCAGAATCTTTCTCTGTTAACCCAGGCGTTAAAACAGGGATGTATTCTATCCCCCATGTTGTTCACATTAGTGATAGACAAAGTGATGAGGAATGTAACTTCACGTGTCAAAAGAGGGATCCAGTGGACTTTTACAGAAAGATTAGAAGACTTGGATTTTGCGGATGATATATGTTTATTAGCACAATGCCATGAAGAAACGCAAAACAAAAATCTCTGATCTGAATGAAATAGGAAAAAGATATGACCTAAAAATCAACAGGGAGAAAACTAAAGAATTGGGAATAAATAACAAAAAAGTGAACAGGTTAGCCATAGAAGACCATACAACAGAAAAAGTGGAACAGTTTTGCTATCTTGGCAGCACTGTGTCCAATACAGGTGGAACAGACAAAGACATTATAAACAGAATTAAAAAAAGCAAAAGGCGTTTTTGCCCAGATGCAATCTGTTTGGAAATCAAACTCATTCTCTCCAAATATTAAATTGAGAATTTTTAATACTAACGTAAAATCTGTCCTATTATATGGCTGTGAGACCTGGAAAGTCACTAAAGAACTAATGCAAAAATTACAAAGTTATATCAACAGATGTATCAGGTTTCTTCTAAAAATTAGATGGCCAGAAAACATTTCAAATGAAAAATTGGGGAGAATTACCCATCAAACGAAAATACAACAGATCAAGGAAAGGAAATGGAAGTGGCTGGGACACACGCTTAGGAAAGAGGATGAGAGCATTTCAAAGCAAGTGTTGGACTGGAACCCCCAAGGAGCACGGAAAAGAGGAAGACCGAGTATTACATGGCGGAGATCTATTGAAAAGGAAGCAAGATCACAGGGGAAAAGTTTGAAGGAAATAAAGGCACTCGGCAACAACCGAGTGAGGTGGAGGATCTTTATATCAGCCCTATGTTCCCAAGAGGAATAAAAGGAATTAACTAACTGACTAAACTAACTAATTCTTACAGGTGGCAGTCATCACCATGATGTGTCACACACTGAATAAACATACTCATGAGGTTACATTGGCATAATCTGGGCCACAGACAGCAACATTAAATAAACTATCAGTCCAATGGCTCACCATTAAAACAGCAGTAATAGGTGCTTAAATGATAAAGATACATAACATTAATGTAACACAACATATCTGAGCTACGTCTAGCACAATTATCATTACTTAAAGTGCATATCTATAAAATCAGAAATGAAAATAAATGTTGTATTCCTACAATTGTCATTCTCAGTTACTAAATCTGAAAAATATTTATTAATAAATTCCTTAGGATGATTCTATATTCCTGTTTCACTTATATGTTTACTTCATATAAAGTATGATTACAGATAAGCAAGTTTCTTATATGACAGTTGTAATCAATCAATTTATCAGCAGCTTATCTTTACAAAACTTTAAAACCAAAACACTTCAGTGATATTTTTAAGGGCACTCTAATAAAACAAATAACCTGAACAACAGTTCTTGTAGATAAGGAATGTCAATACAACAACACTGAATAGGAATGCATATATGTATACTATTTGTTTGTTTATACAACCAAATTCACACTACTGGATAGGTCAAGGTTTGATCAAATACACTCTATTCAGCTGGTGAATACAATTCTGCTACAGTACAATAAATATATGCTGGTATAAATTCACTACAAAATTAGCATAAAATTCAGGCAAACAAAAAGAGCACAGAGATAGCTATCTTCTGGGTCTGTATGGTCTCATAGAAATGCACCAAAATTTCATAGGTCTTTGCTACCTGCATCCTCCCTGCTGATGGAGGCAGCAAGGACCTCTGGTGCTATAACCCAGAAGACAGCCACCTTCATACTCATCACTGCAACCACCTCAAATTCTAAAAAAGTATACAATTCTCAAGGTCATGTTACCTTGGACACCCTCTTGCTACTGATATGTATTGTATTATCAGGAAGGGCATACCTATGTAAGGAAGTGAGGTTCATTACTTTTTACAAGTGCACAAACAAAATTTTAAATGTTTTCACTTGCTCTAGGGGAACATAAATTACAAATATATGAAAATGTAATACTAAGAAAAATATCTGGATTGCTTACTAAGTATCAATAACTTAATCTAACCCAACTAACACTTAGTCAGATGTAAGCAGTTACACAGTCAAATGTCAAGGAGGAAGCACCAGTTTTATCCTTGCCACACCCTGGGATAACTGCCAGTAAGCTATAGTGACTAGGCTATGGACTGGACATGCAGGGTTCAATTCCTGATAGAAACATGGACTTTTTTTGTCTTTGCAATCACATCCAGTCACTGGGGCCTATCCAATGGGTACTGGAGTCTCTTCCTGATGGTAATCAACTGGGGTGTGAAGCTGACCACTCACCTCACCTTCATCAAGTGCCGATGTTAAAAATGCATGCAGCTATACCTCCACTACCCCCATACACACCCATGATGTTATACTTAAGAATGAAATAACTTTACTTTGCCATTACTTATAATCATTAGTTACTAGCAGATAAACACATGCACAACCAAGAGTTTTATCTTTCAATATGAAATACAATAATTTATATGGATTTCTTGTGCATGTCTGTACTCCAATTAATTTACGTTCATATTTTTGTTGTAATAAATTTAATAAGAAAATATGATAATGGGGTGGTTTAGATTTACATAACTGAGTGTAAAATATCCTAGCTATACAAGCCTCTTAAGAAAAGTCACCAGACTGGAAATGTCTCGAAAATGAAACACTATGAGTTGTTTACTATGCGTAACACAAACCATTCTTGCCCGACACATGAACACAGCATTATAAATATACACTTCCAGATTAATGGGCTTCACACGTTTCTTGAAGCAACGCTGTCAATTAACTTAATTAAATTGAAAATTCTAGATGCAAATGTTTCAATACCACATCTAACCTTCTCTTTCTGGTTTCCGGTGAATTTGAAATGGAACCCCAACATGATTCCTTAAGCTTGCACATGCCATACTTTATCAAATCTCACAAGTTTTCTACTGTCATCCACATCAAATAAACATCAATCCAATAAACGCCACCACACTGAAGAATGAAATAGCCTCCTATTATTTAATTGAGTTTCTGCGTATCATTAATTTATGCAATACTTCACACAACACAATACAGCCAACTACTACACTTAACAATAATTTATAACAGTATCAAATACTTACCCTATGAAATGTGGAAGGTCTCCTCCAAATATATAATAATGGGAGGCTACCCTCAGTAACACAGTTCAGCCATACCTTCACTTAAACTTCTTTACGGACACGGTGGTAACGGTTATATAAATAAAAAGTTAATTTGCACATATTTAGGTATCTCCATGGAAAATAACACTTGCGTAACAATACTGCCATCAACAGATAACGCTTCTACACACATGCGATAAAGTAAACAAAGGCTTTACCCACGAACAGGACAGGGGTGGGAATTTCACCAAAGTATTACTAAATAGAATAAACCCCACTCATTTACACTTTACCTAGAGATCGCCAGGGTCTTTTTCGTTTTCTTCTTTTAATATTTCTGAGACTGTGTGCATCTGTTTGATCGAAGTTGGCCATGGTCAATCCGGTACATAGTTCCCATGCAGCCAAACAATCAACCCACTACAGACGATAACTTCTTGTCAGGAAATTTTCAGATCAAAAGAATGAAACACAATTGACATCAGCAGCTCCACCTAAAATTCATCGGGCTTTGCTATTTATACAAACTGAGTAATAAGGAAATCAGTTATATACAATAACTCACAAGTGTCAAATTCTGATGATACCACAGCCCTGAAATTGTATTTGATCAACCCAGTTTATATCATAATCAGTTAATGACATATCTTTTAACAGAATTCCTTTAACTTCACTGTATTTCTTGTTCGTCACTTTGTATGGGTTTCTTTTTAAACTCACTCCTGGTTCATAGCACAGCCAAGCCAACTGACATCATTATTACCCTAATAATAATCATATCAACGCATCAAACTAAAATGTGCACATTTCTCAGATTATATCTTAAAATGAGAATTGCAGAAAAACAGCTGTTGACATGCTGAAAAAACATTTAAATTTGTATGGACAACTAGATGAATTAGAGGTTGTCCCAACCAAAAAGTGATATTATTTCAAGTATTGAGAAAAAAATAATTGTAAAAGTGAACTTGTAATATATGACAACATTAAAACTCCCATTTATGTAATATCCTATGCAGATGATGTGTAAGATCCAAGGTTAAGAATGGAGTTTTGTGTATATGCTCCCTATAAATCACAATAGTAGTTTCAAAAATCTGTCAATAGCTGTTATAACTTATCTATTTATATTTGTACTAGAAACAAGTACTTTATTTGTGCTATGACCTGTTCTACATTCTTGGCTTAGGCCTATGAAGGATCTATGGAATATAAATAAATTCTATTCTATTCTATTCTACTCTAATAGTATGGCCAAAGTTTATTGAAAGGGGTCACACTTAGAGAAAATATTGAAAACCTATGGAAACACAATAGGGATGGAAATGAAACAGCTATTGATACCACATCACAGCTGAAATGAATGGTTTTTAGGTTCATATGGGCAAGTACATTTATAACACTTTGTATCATTTATTGTACTTCCATTCTATCACAATACAATAAGGACATGTAAGTATACATAGGCCGTTCAAACTAACTCTAATGCAAGTTAGCATTGTGTGTGCAAAGAACACACTGAAATGTAATATTTCACCGATTCAGAATCAGTGCCCCCAAAACATACAACACATTCTGATGCATAACTTTAATGTTCTTTTGCCACATTTTTTGAGTTGGTATGTAAATAAAATACACTGTACAATCTAGTTTACCTTTCAATAAAACTTGTAACAAGACTTCACAAAAACCTACAACAAATTACAATTTGTTACTAGTACAGCATTGTCAAAGAAATTATTTGGTAGCTGTGCTGGGGCACAACCTTTCTGTTGTATGTGAATAATATGTTAGTTGCTGCTTTTTAAAGTTAATCAACTGCAGTGGCAGAATGCAGCAGCATCACACAGTGAAGTTTACTTATCTGTTACAGAAGCTGAACACATTCTCCATTCACATACTTTAGGTGTTCTTTGGATATATGGAAAACTCACAGATGAATTATTTCTTTCAGTTCTTCCATGTGTGGACTGGTTAAAATGACTAGTTTTTAAATAACCCCACTGACTATAGTTACCAGTCACAGAAATTTAGCCACTGGGTCATATTGCTGGAGAGAATGAGAAACTGTTGTTTTATAAGGCAGCAGCGCAGATGCAAATAATATCTCTGTACCCATACAATATGAGGTTTTGCGGTAACTTCAGTAATGTTCTATCATTTGTGTAGAATAATCACACAATTTGTCTCCAGCACAGTTCAAAATTACAATGCAAACATAAAATTTAATAGCAATAAAACCAACTATATGTACATACGGCCATACATACACACTTCGAGAGTTTTCTGAAAACATGGAGTAAATTAAAAGCTTCCAAGTTGTCTGTTAATATTCAGGTTCTGAGGGCACATGTTCAAAGTATGTTCTAAATTTCATACATCCTTGTTAAGGCTCTATAAATTACCCTGCATCAGCATAAATGGATATGTAAACACTTTTCCTAATTTTAATATAACTTTTAAGACTATTTCTATGTTACTGCATTTTCAAGTCACATACTGAAGTCATAACTGATACACAAATTGTATGAAAAAATAAACATCACTTAGTGGAATGAGAACAACATAATATTTTGATAGCAATAATGTACTGAACAAGTACATAAAGTATTTGAAACATTAAAATGGCAAATAATAAATGTTTCAAGACCAAATATGGAGAACTGCAACATCAGTTCTAAATAACAATGAACGTGTTCTGGTTCTCAGTAACACAGAACAAGAATTAAGATAACAGAAACAGGAACAACTAAAATAAACAAATATATCCAAAATTCACCTTTCAAATGTTGGGGAAAAAAAGAATAAGATACAAATAAAGATGAAAAAAATTTATTTGAAATACTGTCCTTCAGATCACTTCAAAAACTATATTTGTACTCACTCATGCCAGCCAATGGGTAAACTTATAACAACACACCATAAACTTCGAAATTTAAAGCTACTATTGGCATCATACTAAAAATGGACAGATTACAGTACAGAAGTAGTGGCAGGTCAAGTGAATGGTGGGCCACATAACAAACACATTTAACCTCTCAACACTCTTCAATCCCTATTACAAAAACACAAATTGATATGATTATGATCCACCTTGCCTTCTAAGCCCAAACAGTTCAATACACAAAATTATCACTAATAATGACAAATGAAGATACCTTTCATCACTGTACTGTTATTGATAACTGAATTATTCATTATTCAGAACCTCAAATCCTACCACTCGCAAATTGTGGGGCCAGAAGAGCTAAACTGCCAGTAGAGCCACCACTTTTTCATGTTTTCAGCTATTTTATTGATAGTCATTAGAGAATAGCAATCTCGTACCAAAATACATTATGTAGTATTTATTATTTAACAATAAAACCCACCTTGCACATATCAACAAATTTACTCTGAATGGGCTGTGGGAAAACAGTTATTGAATATTATTCAATTCTGTATTAGAACTTGTAAAGCACTCATTTACCATACTGCAAGGAAGGGTACCATCTATGGTGTTATATGAGCTATGTATAGAGTTTAGAAACCTAGCAAGAGAAAGGAAATTTAAATGCTACTTCACTGTATGCAATATTGATACCATCTACAATACTGGCCACGTAGAAGCAGGCACTAGAGCTCACATTTGCAGCTATAACCATCATATTCAGCATTTGGACTAGGAAAACTTTTCAGTGAGAAGTCTTTACAACAGGAATTCCCGATACCGAAACATACTGCATATGTTCAATTCATACTGGAGCTGAAATTATGCTATTCTTGTGTTCAAGTAATACTGCCATTTATTAAAGTTTATCCTGCTACATGCCATACAGGTGCTTAGGGTGAGTGGAGGTATAGCTCCTCTCTTTCTTGACCTTGGCACTAGATGGGGGTGAGTGGTCAGCATCACGCCTCGGCCGGTTTTACCCCCGGGATAGGACTGGGTGGGCCCCAGAGCCGGTCTGGACGCAGAGGCTAGAGGAAAAATCCTCTGCCCCCGTCGGGGATCAAACCCCGGCCATCCAGCCCGTAGCTAGTCACTATACTGACTGAGCTATCCCGGCTCACACTGCCATTTATTGCAACTCAAAATTTTTAACATCCCAAATTTTTCTTCATGTATGTGGTGTGGAAAATGGTGATATAAAATGCTATTTAAAATGCTGCTTGTCATTGTTGGTAGTCCTGGCAGAAATAGACGAAGACTGGTGGCACTAGATGGGGGTGAGTGGTCAGCATCACGCCCCGGCCGTGCTTTACCCCTAGGAAAGGATCCTGGTACCCATTGGACAGGATGCTGGGTGGGCCCCAGAGCCGTTCTGGACGCAGAGGCTAGAGGAAAAATCCTCTGCCCCCGTCGGGGATCAAACCCCGGCCATCCAGCCCGTAGCTAGTCACTATACTGACTGAGCTATCCCGGCTCACACTGCCATTTATTGCAACTCAAAATTTTTAACATCCCAAATTTTTCTTCATGTATGTGGTGTGGAAAATGGTGATATAAAATGCTATTTAAAATGCTGCTTGTCATTGTTGGTAGTCCTGGCAGAAATAGACGAAGACTGGTCTTACAAACTTTTCTAGCAATTAAGTGAAGAAATGTAAAATTGATCTCAAGTCTGGTTATGAAAGACTGATATCCCTCTCTCTCACACACACAAAACCCAAAGCCAATGCATCATTCCCTGAAGTAAGTCCAAACAGTGCCTCCTTCTCACCTGAATATATATCAAAGCATACATGTGCAAGTAGGCCTGCTATGTTGGTGGAAAGTGAACAAGTGGTTAAGTACTGCGCCCTCTCACTTCCAGGTACTGATTTCTACGTGGATTTGTGAGAGATAGCACCCTTTAGCTCCATAGCTAACTTGTAGCCCAGTTCAGGTCTTCTATCACGACCTTCAACCATTGCCTTCACCTACAAAGGTGATTGTAAAATGTAAGTTACAAATAAATACAGTAAATATCTAAATATTACATGTTTATACCATGTGAATATTCATGAGAATGTGTATAATATATAGAACTGAAGTAAATTCTTTTGCTGCATTCTACAAGATTGTGACAATGTAGAGAACACAGCACAAAAATATTGTGACAAATCACATTAAAGAATATGTTCATACCAACATTACAGATATATTCTGTCACATGCAAGTGTTACAAAAATGTGTGTGAGCCAAGCTACTTAATAATGTATGAGGTTCACAGCAAGAAAGTTAATGTTAAACACTAAGTGTTCACCAGACTGATTACTACATCCATTTTTGTACAAATCATGCAGTAAGAGAGATTTTCTTTGTTGTTGTAAGTAATCAGTACTTTAATTTAAATTTAAATTTGAAGCTTTGTGTGAATATTAACAAAACGATTTCTCCAGCAGGAGCAGAGCGTTCACATAAAACATGTCAGGTGGGCTAACATGGCTAACACAGTTGACATGAACACTCTACCCCTGTCCTTCAGCACAAAAGACTGGTGTTATTCAATCAGGCACTGCACACAGTCTGTACCAATGTTATATCTAGAGAAAAGCACAAATCTATTACATGGAGGCCAGACTGCTGTACTACGCTGTATTACATTTAGTCAGAGGCCTTACCTGAGAAGAGTCAACAATAACACCATTGTTACTTGTGACAGTGTTCTTGGTTTTTTCAATATCCTTTAGGTCAACACCTCGGCTACAATCGTCAATAAGTATAGTTCGGTAACCAATTGCCAAAGCATCAGCTGCAGTAGCACCTTTTAAAAAAAGTAAGACTGACCAGGAACATGATACATTCAAACAGTCATCAGTTAACTAGTGAATATAATAAATGTTATTTCTTTATATATTTAATGATGCTATCAACTGCACAGGTCATTTAACAAAAATCAGGAATGACAGAGTTAGCATTTAGAAAGATCTGGAAGAATGCTGATAACATACCAAGTGCAAAACAGCTGTGAAACTGCACTGAGTCATGATGGAATAACAATATCTTTGACACCTCAACATTGCAGACTGCAGAATTACAACTGTACTAAATCAACTATCATGCAAACAGCTAGCAGTTTAAAGCATAATATTAATGTGTAGATATCGTTTCAGCTTAGAAAGCCATGCATTTGGAACTTACCAACACAAACATCATACGCCAACCCACAAATGTAGATATCTGTGGCATTTTTCTCTTGAAGCTGTGACACCAGTGTAGTTTCTGTCAGCTTCTTATTGTCCCAAAAAACAGAATAGGAATCCACTTCAGGATTTGTACCCTTGCATACCTTGATAGACTTTTCAACTATCTGAAACATCAGTTATTCACAACGTGTGATTTCAGGTTTTCACAGCAGTAAGAGTTCAAATTATGTTCTTCAGCATAGTGAGACTGAGTTGTCTGGTATGTGGTTCAACATTTTAGATGGTACCATTACTGACACCTTCAGAGCAATAATGTCTTCTACAAACTATTATATGGATATCAAGACCAAGACCAAGTTCAAGTCTTAATTGGAAACATGCCTTTATTTTAAATTACAGGTGCTTTCTTTTTTGTTCCTTTCCCTATTTCCTTCCATCTGTTCTGAACATGACTGTAGAACATCACAGTGTTTTTACAAAGGCTCTACATAATAAAACCACCAACTGAGACATATTCAGTTCATGCACAGCATACATCATTGTGACAGTGCTGTATTTCCATATCAACCACTCGAAAAAATACTAGCATAAGAGACTCGAATAGGTTCTTCGGGACTGCATCACATAACAAATTCAACAGGACTCAGCATTCACCCAGTATAATGGCAAGTCATACCCACAACTCTACAATATACTTACCTTCAGATCCTTATGCAGTTCTGCTCCCCAAGAATCTTGTACACAATGTCTTGGCCACAGTCTTTGTTTCATTGGTGGTGGACCTTCAAAGACAACTGTGTCATATGTTTTGGCTTCTTCAGTACTCACCTGTGAATACAGAAATCCCAATGGTCTGATCACCAAATTTGATTTCATACATACTTAATTTTATACATTAATTTCTATATCAATTAATTTGAATACAATTTTTATGTACACTGAATTGTTACTGGCAGCAATTTTCTGGTGTAATGACAGGTAATCCTAAAACACATAAGTAATTAGTAACAATCTGAGAGGTAAACACTGCTAATACCAAAACTTCTCATTGGATATGATCTTGAGTCAGTTCTATCCACTTTCTATCCTCTGCATATATTTGCTCTAAATTAATCTGAACATTATCCTACCACTTCCTTCTTGGTCTTCCAACAGGTCACTTTCATGGTGTTCCCACCAAAATACTGCATGCATTTCTCCCCTATCCAGGCTACATGTCCAACTCATTTAACCTCAAATTTTAAATTGCTTTATTTCTAATATATAAGCAATATGAACATAATATATGAAAATATTATCAGCTTAACCTCCTTGACTTCGCTACCCTAACCACTAAGTTCCTACATTCTGCACTGGTTTTTTTACTTCAAAAGTCAAAATATTTTCCAGAGAACAGTTTTCACACAGTTGTAATTTATAGTCTTCCCTCACTGTATGAGATTATGTTTCACATCCATGCAAAACAAATGATAAAATTGTTTTTATATATTTATTTTGACACAGACAGTCGAATACTTTAACAGTTTGTAGTAATTTGATGAGATTTGTATTTTAATTTTTGGATAATGACAGTGACTTCTTCCTGTCTGCATTTTGAATGGACAAAGTTAATAGTTTTGCTACTTAATATTCCATCTGTGAAATGGAATATTTCATACAATAGTTGTTAATTTTATGAGAAATAATATATATTCTTCTTGCTTTGCTACACAGATACATTTATTCATATTTTCTGACGTTTTAAATTTAAATTTCACTCTTGAAATAATAATGAACTGAAACAGGATTATAATTTTTTGTAACTGTTAAGCCCAGTTTGACATTATACTAAAATGTAATTCCTTCATGTCAGAATAAGTTCAAAAGAGGATCTGAAATAATTACAAGTAAAAGTATGGAATAACTGTGTACTATATAAATGTATTCCTATAAAAAATTTTGCTATGAAATTTTCTTGACTGGTCAGTTGTGTAAATTCTGAATCAAACACACCTGAAAATTTTATAAAATTCATTTGTAATTAAAGTTTTGTCTTACATAAACATCATTTTTATTACTTTCAGGGTACACTGTGCACATCCTTTTCAAGACTTGAACAGTTCCTACAATGTTATCTTTCAGATAAGACTTACTGGACTGGATTCATGTAATTTGCGTTGTGGAAGATTGTCAATGAATGACACATGGTCACTAGGATGCCAATCCAATGAGTAGAAGACTGCATCAAACTCCACTGTCTCAAGAAGTCTGTTTATAGGTTCTACAACCTGGAATAAAATACAAAGTCTTTCAATCTGTTATCCATTAAAGACAAAAGACTTCTTGATTAGCTGAGCAACTATTATCTTTTTCAAGAAGGATTCTGCTCCATGGAGTAAGCAACTTTGGTTGAAAGAATCAACTGTGTAAAAAGTGATCTTCCTATGCTGTACAAAAGAAGATAAGAACTTCAACTTAATAATTAATAAGGACACACCAATCAGCTATGCAAGTACCAGTATAGTTTAGAAAGGGCAATTCATGTATGACAACAAAAACTGCTGCTAATAGGACACAACCATTTGACCCTCAGGCCCTTCTTAAGCAGACCTCCAGCACTTTACTACCTTTCAACAGATTTTTATATCCCTGTAGAATGTCCAAATATTTGCATGTGTGTATAAGTGAAATACATTATCATCCAATTCCTTTTTTAAATATCTCACCAGCATTCTCAGGAACGATAATAAATCTAAGGAAGCCTTATAAATTATAATGATTATACGTATTCCTTGGTGCTTCAGAATTTTTTTTATTAAACTTATCACATACTCCCTCTCTCCACAGTTTGCATTGTTAGTCATCTTTAGTTCATCTAAAGCCTAGTATTTATTCTTCTTTTAGAATTCTGCATACTATATATTATTATATATAATGTTAGTTATTAATGTAACTCAATATTCTGATATATATATACATAAGCACACATTCTAAATGAAGGTACAGTGCCTGAAGTAGTAACAAGAAAAACAGCAGTCAAATAAAAATCATGAAACTAATAAAATATAAATGAACAACTTGGAAACTGGCTGTGATACAGAACTTCATAAAATTGCAACTATGTGTACCTGTATCTGAATTTGGTTTTATTCATTATTTATCCTAATACAAAATACTATATCATTCCTGTCTATTCAGTCAGAATATATGGTTTGGTTGTTGGCTATCCAACCCCATAAGATGCCTGGTGGTGTGTGAAGGGGGATGGGGGTATTTCTACAAAGCTGGACACCATTTACCTGTTGTGTTAAACTTACCTCTGCCCCATTCTGCCTTGCAGAACAATGACTGATATTCAGTGTGCCAGATATGAAGTCATTCTGGACATCCACAACTAGAAACACACTAACTGGGCGGACAATCTGCAAGGGAATTAGGAAGTAGCATTTATTAATTTTATATAATATACAATGTAATTTACAATACCTCTGGTTTGAGATTAACAATAGCCATCCTTGTTAATGGAAAATCAGTGAGGCATGGGAACAGAACAGCTGCAGGACAATTTGAATCACCAATTAAGTGTTTGTCTGAAACAAACTGTGCAGAAAATAAGACAGAGTAACTGGTACACAGGGGAATGAACCACATATTATTATTGATTTATCATTTGTGAATTCTTTTTGTTCATTTAATTTTGTATTTATTTACGGTTTATTTAACAGAGCTGTTTGTAGCTCAGGTTACGCAGAGTGAATGTTCAATGCCTCTGAATTTATGTTATGCTGTCCTGCACAATAACCATTAAACACTTACTCAAAATTGGAAAGAATATTGAAGGAGGTGACTTTGGCCAAATTTACTATCCACATACTTTCCTGGGAGGACTGAAAAAAACACGAAAAACCTACAACTGGTCTCCAAATCAAAATGTGATCCCTGGACCTCCAGAATACGAAGCAGCAGTGACCACTACGCGCCCACTACTTCTGTACAATGGGGTGTCACCACAAACATGATTTTGTTTTTGGACATCGTTCATCGTCAGTTTCTTCCTCACACATGACGTTTCGGATACTGAATCTGATTCCGTTACCAGAAGGGTTTCCGCTCCGTTGAACCCCTCGCTGTTCATTGGAGCATATACCTTCCTCTCTTGTTGAAGATGGTTGTCTTCCTGGTTGTTGCGCTGTGAAACCTCCTCTGATGAAGAAGGTAGCAAGCATACAAAATACTATATCATTCCTGTCTATTCAGTCAGAATATATGGTTTGGTTGTTGGCTATCCAACCCCATAAGATGCCTGGTGGTGTGTGAAGGGGGATGGGGGTATTTCTACAAAGCTGGACACCATTTACCTGTTGTGTTAAACTTACCTCTGCCCCATTCTGCCTTGCAGAACAATGACTGATATTCAGTGTGCCAGATATGAAGTCATTCTGGACATCCACAACTAGAAACACACTAACTGGGCGGACAATCTGCAAGGGAATTAGGAAGTAGCATTTATTAATTTTATATAATATACAATGTAATTTACAATACCTCTGGTTTGAGATTAACAATAGCCATCCTTGTTAATGGAAAATCAGTGAGGCATGGGAACAGAACAGCTGCAGGACAATTTGAATCACCAATTAAGTGTTTGTCTGAAACAAACTGTGCAGAAAATAAGACAGAGTAACTGGTACACAGGGGAATGAACCACATATTATTATTGATTTATCATTTGTGAATTCTTTTTGTTCATTTAATTTTGTATTTATTTACGGTTTATTTAACAGAGCTGTTTGTAGCTCAGGTTACGCAGAGTGAATGTTCAATGCCTCTGAATTTATGTTATGCTGTCCTGCACAATAACCATTAAACACTTACTCAAAATTGGAAAGAATATTGAAGGAGGTGACTTTGGCCAAATTTACTATCCACATACTTTCCTGGGAGGACTGAAAAAAACACGAAAAACCTACAACTGGTCTCCAAATCAAAATGTGATCCCTGGACCTCCAGAATACGAAGCAGCAGTGACCACTACGCGCCCACTACTTCTGTACAATGGGGTGTCACCACAAACATGATTTTGTTTTTGGACATCGTTCATCGTCAGTTTCTTCCTCACACATGACGTTTCGGATACTGAATCTGATTCCGTTACCAGAAGGGTTTCCGCTCCGTTGAACCCCTCGCTGTTCATTGGAGCATATACCTTCCTCTCTTGTTGAAGATGGTTGTCTTCCTGGTTGTTGCGCTGTGAAACCTCCTCTGATGAAGAAGGTAGCAAGCACCTCTGAAGTGTCGGTAAACTTCTACCAGATTACGCCATCTTTATACTCGCCGGCGTGAGTCCTGAAATTCCTTCCTCGTTACCTAACAAGATCAAGTTTCTTTCAGAAAGTAACGTTTGAGGAAAAACTAAGACGTTGGAAAATTACGTTTACAATTAAATTTTGTTTGGTTGTATCAAACCCCCTTCTTTCCGAACAAGTGTGGAATATTTGGCTGAAGTATTTAATCAATAATTGGTGAAAATATAAAAGACAAGTCTCTTGAAATGTCTAATGAGAGCGTAGTGCGGTATTACGTGACGGAAAAGTTGGACCAAAAATAACCCGTAGTTTAAATTGTCTGTCAACAGACGGAACAGTAGGGCGGCGAGTATAAAAGACTAAGGACGCCAGTGGGTCGATAGGATAACTGCAATCTCCTTTGCATTTAGCGCCTGGTACAAACAATCGACCACCCTCAGAGCTTGAGTACTTAGCACGAAATGCGGAAATTCCCACTGACTGTAGAAGTGCGACGCGCCACTCGGAATAAACACTGTAGTCGTTAGAAAACACCATTAACTAAACATTTTCAATAAAAGTACGAACACCACAAACGATTTCGATTAAGGCAAGGTTATCCTAATTTTGCAAGTATATTATTATTTGTTTGGACAGCAATGTCCGCACTTCTCTACGAAACTATCTTTAAAGATGTCCGTCTTCTGGGATGATGTGCAATGTAGTCAGGAAGTAGTTCACAGACGTTTAAGAGATGCTTACTGCCTCCATCATCAGGACAATGAACACCTCTGAAACGTCTGTAAACTACCAGACTACCCAGTGCAACATCCCAAATTACAGTAAAGTTTGTACTCATGACCATGAGAACCTGAAATCTCAACTGACCACCTTTAGTTTTTGCTTTCTGTTGTTGCAATATGCATGCATTCCCAAAGTATTCATCAGGAAGATATGCCATAGTTTTTAATTTCACATTTTTGATTAAGCTAAACAGTTAGTTGCTCGAAGCAACAAATACTGCCAAATACTAATGATTCATATCTTGGCTAAACAAAAGTTTATGGCAGACTCCAAGACTTTGACCAATGGTCAGTTATTTTATGGCAGTGTACACTGTCCAGATTTTATACAATGTAATGATACATGATGAAAGGAGAGGAATGCCCATCCATTCTCCTATTCAGTTGAGTTCTGGGAGCCAACTTTTACCAACTTTTGTGCCAAAGTTCTTGGGTTAGATCAGTATGTGAAGGGCCTTGATATAATGCTTGAGTTCATTATTTTATTCATATAATGAAACTTATACATTCCTAAAATACTGTAGTTACATATCTTTTGCTCTATCATTTTCAATGTAAGAAACTGTGTAGAATGTCATGTTACCAGGACCAAAAATAACCCGTAGTTTAAATTGTCTGTCAACAGACGGAACAGTAGGGCGGCGAGTATAAAAGACTAAGGACGCCAGTGGGTCGATAGGATAACTGCAATCTCCTTTGCATTTAGCGCCTGGTACAAACAATCGACCACCCTCAGAGCTTGAGTACTTAGCACGAAATGCGGAAATTCCCACTGACTGTAGAAGTGCGACGCGCCACTCGGAATAAACACTGTAGTCGTTAGAAAACACCATTAACTAAACATTTTCAATAAAAGTACGAACACCACAAACGATTTCGATTAAGGCAAGGTTATCCTAATTTTGCAAGTATATTATTATTTGTTTGGACAGCAATGTCCGCACTTCTCTACGAAACTATCTTTAAAGATGTCCGTCTTCTGGGATGATGTGCAATGTAGTCAGGAAGTAGTTCACAGACGTTTAAGAGATGCTTACTGCCTCCATCATCAGGACAATGAACACCTCTGAAACGTCTGTAAACTACCAGACTACCCAGTGCAACATCCCAAATTACAGTAAAGTTTGTACTCATGACCATGAGAACCTGAAATCTCAACTGACCACCTTTAGTTTTTGCTTTCTGTTGTTGCAATATGCATGCATTCCCAAAGTATTCATCAGGAAGATATGCCATAGTTTTTAATTTCACATTTTTGATTAAGCTAAACAGTTAGTTGCTCGAAGCAACAAATACTGCCAAATACTAATGATTCATATCTTGGCTAAACAAAAGTTTATGGCAGACTCCAAGACTTTGACCAATGGTCAGTTATTTTATGGCAGTGTACACTGTCCAGATTTTATACAATGTAATGATACATGATGAAAGGAGAGGAATGCCCATCCATTCTCCTATTCAGTTGAGTTCTGGGAGCCAACTTTTACCAACTTTTGTGCCAAAGTTCTTGGGTTAGATCAGTATGTGAAGGGCCTTGATATAATGCTTGAGTTCATTATTTTATTCATATAATGAAACTTATACATTCCTAAAATACTGTAGTTACATATCTTTTGCTCTATCATTTTCAATGTAAGAAACTGTGTAGAATGTCATGTTACCAAATGTTTCTTCTTCTTCTTCTTCTATGGCTCTCCGGTCCGTATTTGGTCCATGGCCTCCTTAATTCGCCTCTTCCATTCGGTCCTCTGTCCGAGGCTTTGATTGAGGTTTCGAAACATCTGCCTTTTTACGGTGCAAGGTTGTTAGCCTTGTGAGCAACCCCCAACCTGGAGGACCACGGTACCTGTCTTAGTCTGCCTCTCTCCCTTGACCAATCTGGCTAGGGAGGCCCTACCAGTAGCTAGCTATACTACCGCCAGCATAGCTCTTTGGATCACTGAGGTACTCAAGCACCACGACAAGGTGCAGGTACCATTAAGTGGGGTGCCAAATGTTTACAGTATACAAATTACAAAGTGTGCAAATACAATCTTACCTTTTTTATCCAGTTATTCCAGCAGAATGCAAATTCTTCCCTGTCTATCTGTCCATCCTGCAGACAAGAACAAAAATGAAAAATCACATTAATCCAAAAAATATATAAGACAAGTCCATGAAACAATATTTACATACCTTGTTTCTGTCAAAAACTGATAAAACATCTTGAAGTTTCTTAGGTTCCATAGAATATATCTTCCCTTTGTCATTTCGAAACAACGCTCGGCAAACTGAGTGAAATTCACTGAAGTTCAAGTATCCATCACTAGAAACACAAACGAATCCTGCAAGTTATTTAACATGTAAAATTGTGTGTATGTAAACACAAGTGAATATAAAAACACAAAAGAAAATGGAAAGAAGTTTTAATTATATAACCTATTGATATCAACAACAACATAAATCTTCAGTTCAAGGATGACAGTTGCCTATTCCAGCCTCATTTATGGATCACAAATAACAACTGGTTTTAAACATCAGATCGAAAATACACCATTAACAGTGGCAAAGGCTATAGCAAAAATCAAAATTATATTTACATTTTTAAAATGTGTCTTTGTGTATAAAGGTTACTGGCAATGCCACTACTTTGTTTATCTTGGTATTCACGTAATTTCTTTCGAGATTTTTCACGAGACACTGATCCGATCCAAAAATTTTTGCTACAACTGTACCTCTTGCTTGTATGGTCGATTAACTGTAGTCGTTAACCGTGTACTACTACACTTCTTATGGTACATGTTATACATCAATATTATAAAATATTAAGCAAACTTAATTAATCATTTCCTTACCCATCTTTATCAAATGCTCTGAAACATGCATCCATGTCAAAAGTCTCCTCTGTATTGTATCGATCAAACCAGTATGTCTCAGCCGTCACATCGCCACTGTCAGATCGTTCGTTCTCCATCTTCGCTTGCGGATACCGCCCCTTTCACCTCTGCGGATCAGCTGATATCAACACCATCAATATCATACAATTATAGGACAACATAAACACGGGAAACATGCTTTTAAAATAATTTTCCTCTGTAAATTGTAACTGTGTGTTCTAACAGAGGTTAAGGAAGACAACTATTATATTTACTTGTCTATTTTATAATTCACTCATACCTGTGATTTCTCTTTCGATGTGTTCAAGATTATTTTAATCGTGATGGGTTAAATGTAAATGTCGACTAATTTTATTTTCGTTAACATTGTTATACTATACTCCATACGCAAATAACCTTGATATGCTGTGTTACGAACAACAGATAGTGACGATGGCCGTCTTCTGGGTTATTGCGCCGTGTAGTATGACAGTTTACCGACGTTTCAGAGGTCCTTACTGCTGCCATCATCAGGGTGCCCCACATCATCACCCTGACGATGGGGACAGCAAGGACCTAAGTAGAACGGTAGTATGTGTTACTTTTTTCTTCCCGTCTCTAGACATGGTGGGACAGGCATGCTTTTCCAGTATTAAATAATGTAAAGGAAGTAAGAAAAGGCTTTTTGTAGTCTTATATGAAATGTGCTATGGCTTTTAATAATTTAGATAATGAGGGTATTGTATGGAGAACTACTTCCATATACTGTACTCATGTCTTAGTATGTGAATCATTCCCATGTGCTATCAGCTATGTTGTATCAGAACATGATGTGTGCCAGAATTATTTCATGATAACAAGGTGCATATTACATTTGGTATTAAATGATGTAGAACTGGTCCAACACACCTAGAAATTTTTTCCCCCTTCTTCTTGTTTGGAATATAGCCATAGCAGTATTCTGTTTCAAAGCATATGCTGTATCCAGATTATGTAATCTTTTTTTTTCAGTGTTAATTTTAATTTGATGATCCTTATGTAGAATCATATCATAATTTTGTGGATAATAGTTGTTTATAATATACTTTATTGTATTTTTTTTACCTTCCTCTACTATGGGGTAATTTTGAATTCTAACAGAAATTTTACTGTTATACTTCTGTTTTGGGGGATGACATTGGAATTTTATAATCGCATGTGACTGAGAACAATGTGTTTTTTGTTTTTAATAGTTAAATCAAGAAAATTTAGGGAATTATCCTTTTATATTTCACATGTTACATTTAAAGAAGGGAAAATAGTTAAATGCATTATGTGCTCATTGTGTGTTGATTTTTTCAGTAAAAATGGGGTGGATATGAGAGCACCCACAGCTAACACATTAGTCTGTTCATAATTGCTGTCATGGTAAAAGTAATTTTGATTCCACGGGATAGTACCTTAAAATTAGGCCATTGTATCATTCAGTGCTATATATCATTAAACAACCATAAATAAAAAATTTAATATATCAATGTAACACAAGACCTCTTAAAACAGTAATGTAAAATTGTAATAAATACCTGTCAGACCAACTACACTGGCCACTGGAAAAGATGATATACTTGCAACAAATCAGATACACGTAAGAAACCGATTTCTTCAAATCAAATTCTACCACAAACTTGCCAGATACATCATACCCTCAAAAGAGCCCCTTAAACTGTTCTTTCCTGCAGGATTGTGTCAACACTAAGAGGTTGCACTCTCTCACAGCTTGGACACAGGAATGGACTTAGGAGGGTCAGGATGGAGAACCACACACTTTCCAAGTGTATCATAACTGGAAATAAAAGAATAAATAGTGCAGTGCTTAAGGTACACCCATTTTCCTGGAAAGTACTGCCTAAAATCTGTGTATTATACTTCATTGAATATTGTAGTCCAAAAAATATGGTAACTGTATGGCTCAAGTGAGGTAGTGTGGTAAGGAACAAATTTGAATGAAGTTCTGGATTTGGAAATGGGGGGTTATCAGTTGGTCAGTGGACACCAGCTGACATGACTTTAAGGAATAAGAAATACAAAATCAATGTAACTTTTTCATTTCATAATTTTAAACACTCACAAAAATAATATATTCTTATCGTCATCTCTGTGGTATATCAATATAGTGTAAATGCTTGACATTATTTGTACTATTCTCCAATTACTTAACAAAGATTACCAGATATCATGTAAAAATAAATATACAGACAACAAATACTGATTTAATAAGACATTTTTTCTGTATATGAATATGGTAACAGAAGGAACAATGAATTATTCAACCTGACATAGCACACTTCACTAAATAATATGAATTGTATGAGTATTAAATAATTATACAGAATGATGAAGTACCTGTTTAAAGTATGTCTGGGAGGACAATGGATGTGAGTGGTTCAATCTAGAAATATCTTTACACTTGTATGATTTTTTTTTTTTGAAATTAATGAATGGCACACTTGAAGACCATTCACAATTCCTTCTGTAACTTACAATTATACAGCTGTAAATGAAAAAGAAAAGTGTTTAATCTAAAATATAAAGATGTTAAGAAAACAATATTCTTGCATATCAAAGGATATTCAAAGTGTTATCCGAACCTGTTCTATAAGTGAAGCTATATCTAATGGCTTCTGTTTTTTACCGAATAAATGCTGGAACAATTTTCTTTTATCCCCTTCTTTCTCAAGTTGGACAGCTTTGTTGTAGCCTGTGTGAATGATACCAGATGGAATTCCAGCAAGACGAGCAGCATTAAAACCATAAGACTTTGGACAAGCACCAGATGCAAACTTATAAAGGAAAGTCACAGTTTCCTCTGACAGATCTTCTTCATTCTCATTTTCCACCATGCATGCCTTAAAAAGACAGAGATACCAAAACATTATGGCTTATGTAGTGGAAACAACAAGATTTTTACTTCTCAGATCACAGACAGACATTATACTGACGAATCCTCTCAAATAAATGTGTCAGCTTCTACAATAATCGGTCACGTTGTGATCTGTGATGCCAAGATCAATTATTAGGACCTTCTTGGAAAATCAAATTTATTATTCTGCTGTCTACTATTTCCTGTTTAACTCCATGAAACAGAACAGTATCATTAATGTGTACTTTGAAATGCACATCTGAAAATACAATAAGAGACATTCTGATATTTTCCCTAAGCCCAAAAAGGACAGGCATTTTTTTGTATCAGCTGAGAGCATTACATTTAATAAAGGGGAGAAAGAAATAGGGGTTCAGTTTTGATTACCAAGTGAAATTGTAAATTTTAGCTCTACTACTTTGTTTCTAAAAGTAGTAACATTCAAACACTGAGGTCAACATGACCAAACCTTACCATATGGCCCAATGTGATATTTAGTGAATGTCTGAAGTCTTCTACCAAGGTGTGGTAATGTGTAGAAAACAACGTTCGGCATCCCAAATTACCCAATTCCTGCACAACAGATGCAGCAATTGCAGTACCATCATATGTCGATGTACCACGTCCTACAGGAAAGAAAAAAAATGACTACATATTCCTATTAAGGTCAGAGTATCAAGTTAAAAAAGAATAGATAACAAGAGTGTATGGTCTCGGAGGCATCAAGTTTAAAAAGAATGGATAACAAGAATGTATGGTCTCGGAGGCTCACTGACATATTCAATTATTCTCTTCTGATATACCATATCTTATTTATAGGCATTGGTATTTGTGGTATCATCATCAAATTAATTTGTATTTATTTCTAACCAACTAATAATGTCAGACCGGATTGTAATCAGTTCAAACCCCAATACTATTCATGGACAGTTTGATACTTTCCACACAGCACCCCAAGACAGTGGCTTAAAAAAGTCACAACTGCTTCCTCCCACATGCCATTTGGTTGTATTCAGTCACAAAAACTTCCTTGTCACAGAATGTGAAGGAAAAGAAGTTCCCACTGAAATCTAGGATGATCCAGTTTGAATCTTCACAACCTTTTCATCTAAAATTCACTTAATATTATCATCCCATCAATGCCTAGATATCCCACGTTTTCCAAAAACAATGTTGTTTCCTAATGCTCTACTCGTGTTCTCCCCATCTCATCCTTCCTGGTTTAATAACTAAGTCTATAATGGTCAAGAGTGAACATTTTGAACCTGCTCATCTTTTCATTTGATATTTCAGTTATTAGTGATTACTGGTACAACTAAAAAAAGAACAGTATTTTGACAGTGTGTAGATCTAGCAAGTATTTATGTCTATATCCACCAGACATTTCTTATATGATGGACTTCTGCTCTCCTTGGTGAATCACCATTTAGAATTAAAATAAGTCCAACTCGAGATTATGTATGGATAAACAAAGGCAACTTGAACATTTTGATACATGGCTAATCTAATAAAAAACATTGTTGATTTAGTAGTTGCATTTCTATAATGCATTTGTCCCCTCCCTCTATGGAAAACTCTTCCTCTCAAATCAACTCTAGAAGCAATGGCTAAACTCACTTTTATGGTACTGCTCACAGCTCCTATTTGTATGCACAGTGCTTTAGAACAAAATGATGACCTTGAAGGCAATCCTTCATTGCTGCATACAAGAAGAAATTGGAAGATGCCAGGTCTGGACTGAACTGATGGTTGCAGCAGTGTGACATGAGCTTGTACCTTATACTTATTACATTCAAACATTGAACTGCTAACTGGTATAAATCTAATGGCAAAAAATTATGTTTCAAAATTATGTATTCAGATCCACTGACTTTGCTGGCTCAACTCCATGTCTTGAAACCTTTTCTGATGACCCACTTACTCACCCAGTTCATCTACCAAAACAAGGGAATGTTTTGTTGCATGATGCAAAACTGCTGCAGTCTCACTCAACTCCACATAAAAAGTGCTCTCTCCTGCCATGATGTTATCATTTGCACCCAGACGAGTGAATACGCGATCTACAGGGCTGAGCTGACACACTGCAGCTGGGACATGGCAACCCTGCGATTAATAACTCTTCAGTTAATAACATCTTAATACATATCACACCATGATGTCCAAAGGGACAAATAACCTAAAGCATCTGGCACCTTAATGCGTTCTTTATGTGGTAAACTCCAATCTGCACAAATTATGCTCTTTCAACCTACTCACAGTAGTATAACCACTACTTTTAGTGTGGAGGAAATCTCCCAACCCTAATGTAGGTTAATGTAGCTTCAGGCATTTTTTGAAGTCCACAGTTCTCAGAATCGGTGGATTTGGAAGTACTCCAAAGATGGCTGTCAAGCTTTCTGACGCCATCACCGGGGTGACTACACATACCTGTTCTACAGTCTATGGAGTCTATACCACACTTCTTGAAAGAGGCTATTTTCAAGAAAGTAACCTATAACACATCTGAAAACAAAGTAAGTTTTTTCATAAAGGAAGTTCATCTAAAAATTTATATGGATAAATAGTTCCTTCTGAACACCTGTGTTGATCTGGAACTTGTAGATTAAAAAATGCAACAGATATTTGTTTGATCTATTGCAGTCTGACACTAGCTTATTTGCATTTAAATCTATAATACAGTCATGTACTATGTGTCATATTTATAAAGTTAATAAGAGTTTTGCAGAGATACAGAAAAAGACAAGTAGCAACATGCGTACCATATGTGCCATTACAACCAGAAGCCCAACTTGCCGCATAAGAGTAGACTTTCCTCCCATATTTGGTCCAGTTACTAGAACCAGACTAGCTTCATCTTCTCCACATCCAATCACAGTATCATTTGGAATGAATCCATCTATTGATGAAACACAAGGATGGCGACCATCTGTGATCTTCAAAAAGGGCTGCAAAAATAAGCATTAAATAATATTTTAAGATTGGAAAGTATTATTCAATAATTAATTTACATAAACAACTTCGCAAAAATATACTGGCAGCTTGAGCATAAAATATAGTGTAAATTATTATGTAACCTGACAATAATGCTGTGCCTTTTGTTAGCAAGGTTGTTGTTTCTTGGACTCACAGAAGCAGCAAAATATTGCTATTTCTACCGCAAACATAACAGAACATCAACTGTCAAATATAAGTTCTCACAAAATGACTGTTTCCTGGGCTGTTTCTTTATGTTGTCTGGTATAAGTTTACTGAGCTTCAGAGATGCTTGCTGCTTCCATTATCAGTGTGATCACCCTGATGACTGAGGCAGCAAGCACTTCTAAAATTCAGATGAACTCCCATCAGATTACACAATGACACAACCCATCAGAAAGTCATCTTCATACTCATTAAATGCTGTCCTTCCCTTCTGGAAGCTGTCGGTCTCCGCATCCCTGCTCGGAATCTGAGAGATTTTTCTATGTTCAGTTTTAGCCCCTTGTTCAAAAACAGTCCTTCTGCTAGATGCGCATCAGCTGCTAATGTTGTCTGCAGGGATTTGGACATATTCGAGACGAAAATTGTCACACTTAATCATATTCTATAATAGCATAATTTACTTAATTGATGCATGTTATTTTACAAATATCCTAATGTAGTAATTTTTTGTGTACTTTCAGTATCAATGTATTTTATATATTGCTTGTTTTACCTTTTATGTCTTACTGTATTTGTGAGTTTATCTCTGTGCTGTATCTGTAATTGGCCACCAGGCTGTTGATACAGCACACAAATAATAAAGAATTGAATTGAATTGAATTACTGTGCAAATCTGAATCTCACATAAAGTCCTCATACTTACCTTCATTTCTCCTGATGATATAACAAACTCTGGTATGCAAGTTTCACCACCTTCACTGCGAGCATATTCAGCAAGAGACAGGAGAACATCCAACACAGACAGACACTGTACTGCTGCATTCCATATTTCATAGCTACATAAAATAGCATATCCACAATCAGCACAATAAAAAACTCATTTACTTCAATCCCATAACTGTAGTGTATCATTACATACTTAATACTGAATAATTATTATTTCAGTATTTATATTAGCTTCATGAAGAAAACAAACACACAGTAAAAGAACTAAAAACACAAATCATATTGGACAAAACGTTTAAATACAAAACCAATTAGATTCAACATGTTGACACAACATAAGGAGACTTTCCAAACTTGGGGGGTGAGGCGGGAATACAAACAATATGGATCAAAAAAGCAAGAATGCTCTTTAACAGACTTCTGGATGATAACAATGAACTTTGTCAATACAATACTGAATTTAAAATGAAATCTTTCAAGAATGTCTTCTGTGTACGTGGTATATAATGTTTCCCCCATTTAAATGACATGTTTCTTCTCAAAACATTTTCCACTTCTAGTTCTGTCATATTTCACTATTTTCCCTGATGCTAATTAGGAACAATTATCTTGTGAGGCTGCCATGCTGTTGAATGTTTCATGCTCTGAACAAGATTTTGACACTTGCGGAGATGTTTCTCAGTTCTAAGCAGTCATACGGCTGTAAAAATATGTTCTGTAAATATAATACTGAGTATCTGGTAGAGTGTTGGTAATTTTGTGATTTGTGTTTATACACATATATAATAATAATCTAATTGTCGTGAGTTCAGATTGTCACCCAAAATTATATTCTTTTAGGAAACAGTGGAAAAATATTGTACAGCAAGAAGGTTAAAAAAGTGAAGTGCTAATTCAGTGTTAACAATGAATGGATGATCACACTGCAGATATGTTCATTCTTCAAGCATGAAGACTTCTGACAAAATTAAAGAAATTATAAAATTACTCTTTGAGCACTGCAAGATTAACTTTAGAAGCAACTGAGAGCTATGCTTTGTCTACATTCATACTGACAATATAATTCAACTCTCAATTACAACTAAAAAACAACGTAATTCAAGGTGCAAGGTGCCACTTTGTGTTCACAGAAAATAACCAAAGAACTGTATATGTCTGTGTGTGTAGGGTCGATTTTGTACATTTGAAATACTTACTCTGAACTAAATCTAGCAAATATCCTGCGATTCAGATCTTTTAAAACATTTTTCTCATGTTCTTCTGCAGCAATTTGACGAGACAGCAAATTCTAATCAAACAAGAAAGGGTGAAGTTATAGCAAAGAAATACAAACAGTAAAAACATTACAGAAATACAAACTTTGAAAGTTAAAAATAAATGTCTGTTGATTACAATATAATTTGTTTATAATATATTAACAGGTCTTGCTCTTTATTCATTAAATAACAGATTTTTCACAGGATTTTATATATAGTTACTTTTAATTTTGTGATGCGTCACTAAATTAGTCCACTGACATTTCAGGTACCTTTGAAGGATCAATCCCCAGAAATGACAGAATTCCTGTACAAATGTGGTTTGGCCAACTGAGTTTTTTCTTTTCTTCTTTCTGGGGGGGGGGGGGGTCACCCCCCAAGATTTAAGCCTGAAATCCAAAGATCACATAATGGATCTTGGACTCTGAAATGCTGGAAATGTTAAAACTTCAGAAAACATGAATGAACACCTACCTTAGTTTCTGAAGTCCAGTACTTCTTGAATCCTTTTCTTTGTCCCTGCAATTCATAACCTTTTCCAGCTTTCTTGGTAAATGAATCAGGAACTTCAAGCTGGAATCTCTTCTTGTCAGATCCACAATAAGTCACCTAGATTACACAAATGAAATAAAACTAAGTTGAAGATACATGTATTCACCTGAGGCCTTAAAGGAAAATCTTACAAATAAAACAAAAAAATGTTTTAAGAAACAGAATTATACATCTGTAACCCATATATTTGCCTTAATATAATTACATTTTTGTGCAGTAGGAAATTGTTGTTCAGCATATTTTTTACAATTAAATCAGAGACTCATGTAGCTTTTATGTACAAACAGTACCAATTGGTGCTCTTGTTTCTTGCAACTTCAAATTCATTCCAAACACATATGCAAATCTCCACAATAATAAACTGATGTATACCATTACCTTACATCCAAAATACTTCTTTTGGCTGTTGAGGTATTCATCTAAATCAGTTTTTAATTCCTGTAATTCTTCTACCACAGAATCATATTCTGGATCAACACCTTTACTTGGGTTGATACGACCAGACTCCTTGGCCTCTTCATGATCAAATGCAGTCTGGAAGTATGCAAGAATACAAATGTACTTTCAAGTGTATAGTGAAATATACTAAGAGGGACCCAGACTTTCTTTACTAAATACTGAAATGGTAAATATAGAAAAAATACTTTTGTATATAGAATACATTTTAAAAGAAATACTTTGCAGCATGTGATTTGATAAAAATCAAACTTCAGTTATTTGAACATTGAAACAATGAACACTAGACAATTAATTCAGCTGTTAATAACACATTTAAGTTATTGGGTATTAAACCACTTTGAAATCTATGATTTGAAGCTTTCACGGTGGCTGTCATTAATAAAGTCTTCTCAGGTTATTAGCCGTGTTAGTTGGTGATCAATCGCCGACGTTTCGAGAATCATCTCTGTCCTCATTTTCAAGGCTGTTGACTGTGTGGCTCGTAACATGAACTAGTTTAAATGTCCTTGGACAGAGATGGTCCTCGAAATGTCGGCGATTGATCACCAACTAACACGGCTGATAGCCCGAGAAGACTTCACTTTGAAATCCATAACAAGCACTTTACAAATCAAACTCGAGACCCTCAAGTTACCTCAAAAAAATGAAGAGCTTCTGTCAGATTAGGAAATGACCCAGCTGGATTCTGCTGCTTATTACTAGTACACTGCACCAACAACTTTGAACTCAATGTTACATGTTCATCTGTGAACAGACACCACAGTCTCACTGAGTTTGTAAAATGAAATCATATATGGTACTTTAAAACACTTTTCATAAATTCTCATTAAGCCTTTTATGAGATAAGTAATGTAATTTTTTTTTTATTATTATTAGTGTTCTGTCTGATGACAGGTCTGTTTCCTCAGCAAATGATTCAGAAGTGGTTTGCCATTGCCTTCTTTTGTATGTAAGTTAGGATGCCATGGAGAAACCGGGGAAGTCCCGGAGGAAAACTCCGTGATACCTGGACCACGGCCTTGCCCAACACAAGTTATAAATTTAGGCACCACCGGGAATCGAACCCGGGACCCCAGGATTACAAGGCCAGCTTTCTAACCGCTAGACCATCATGGCGGTTAATGTAAAAATAATTTGTGTAAAGTATTTATATGATTTTTCTAGTATTAAAATATATTTTAGTGATTTTGGTGATGATTAAATAAAAGTCATGAAATTCCAGCTGACTGTAAAAGCACTGTAATCAGAATTACTTCTCTTCTTACTAGTCAACTGAACTGGGTTGGTTTGCTTTACATGGATTGTTCTTCTAAAAATGTCTACATAAAAATTAAATAAAAAATACTAACTACTTGCCACTAATCCCAATTATTAACTGAATTGATATTGTACATAACAACACATTGCACTCGAAGGAAACACTTCCATACAAACCTTGAAATAATGAAACTATCTTCTCTGCAGACTTGAAACCTGCCAAAGTTGATATGAAGTCTAGAATTTTCCTTTTTGAGTATATACGGTCCTCAAAGAAAATTGCTCGGCTATCTGGATGTGATTTGCTTCTTAATGCATTTCCCTGTGTGTGAATCCTATACAGACAAGCACAAAGCTCAACGTTTTAATAGTTTATACTGGTTTCTCTTCTAATGATTTATTACCAGGATTGTGAGCAGTAGCTTACATAATAATTAAGGTAAGAAAAAAAGAACTACGTATTATGAACTGCTACCAAATAGAAGAGGCAGAAATTGAATTTGCAAGACAAGAATGGGCCTGCGGAGAGGCCAGAAACAGCACAGAGCATAAGCAGTGAAGCTGTATCAAGGGAAAAGGTTGTGTTGAGAAGAGATGTTGAGAAGATTATGAATGGTTTACTGGACAGAAAAATGAAGATATAGCTATGGAATATTAAAAGCAGTGCCATATACAGTACAGGGCTTAGGAATTTAGTTGTTCCCCCATATCAGAAATGTATAGGACATG